AGGTGGAGAGTGCAGCCTTGGATGCTGATGGTGTCAGCGCCTGAGGTGCGGAGGCGCTGACGTGAGCCAATCAGGAGGGTCTCGGTTTTACGCACGTTGAGCTGAAGAAAGTTGTCTCTCGTCCAGGACTCGATGTCGGACAGGCAGGCTGTCAGGACATCGGTGGTCGTGGAGTTGAGGGTAGAGGAGGAAAGGTAGAGTTGGGTGTCATCCGCATACATGTGGAAGTTAACCCCATGTCTGCGGATGACGTCACCAAGGGGGAGCATATAGAGGGTGAAGAGGAGGGGACTGAGGACAGAGCCTTGAGGGACACCGCACGAGACAGTGCGGGGGCCGGAGGAAAAACCATTCGTGGAAACAAAGTGAAGACAGTGGGAGAGTTACGACCTAAACCACTCAAGGACAGAGCCTTGAAGGTTGAGATGGGAGGACAAGCGGTGGAGGAGGTGGTGGGTTTCAGGGATAGGATGAGTTTGGTGACAGAGGGTGGGGAAACGGGTACGAAAGTGTGTAGGGGAGGATGGGTAGGAGTCGGAGTGTGGGAGGGAAGGGGTGGGGGGTGGGTGGATGTTGGAGGGGAAGTGACCGCAGAGTGAATTCCCTTGATTTTGGATTCAAGGAAATCCAGCATCTCCTCGCAGTGAAGGTTGGAGGAGATGACCTGCGCGGGGTGGCGGGGGGGACGGAGGAGTCGGGATGTGGTAGAAAACAGTAGCCTGGGGTTGTTCTTCGCCTCCAGGATTATCCTGGAGTAGAAGGACGATTTGGCCGAGGCTAGAGTGGAGCGGTAGATTTTGAGGAGGTCCAGCCAGATTTGTCGGTGGACCGTTAGGCCAGATTTGACAGGTGCGTTCAGCGGCCCGCACCTGGCTCTTCAGTGAGCGGAGGTGGGTGGTGAACCAGGGGGAGGAGCAGAGTAGGAGACAGTACGGGAGGTGATGGGGCAAGAGTATCGAGTGTGGAGGAGAGGGTGTTGTGGAGGAGGGTGAGAGGAGAAGAGGGGTCAGTGAGGGTTGAAGGCCAGAGGGAGAGGAGTTCAGAGGACTCCAAGGCAGCGGTTAGGGATTGTGGGGGTAACTTCTTCCAGGGGCGGTAGAAGATGGTGGTGGGTCTGGTGGAGGTGGTGAAGGAGATGAAGTGGTGGTCGGAGACGGCCTTGTCGGTGATAGTGACATCCGAGACACTGAGGCCCCGGGTGATCACCAAGTCGAGTGGGTGGCCGTGACTGTGAGTGGGGGAGTTGATGTGGAGGGAGAGGTTGAGCGAGGAGAGCAGGGAAGAGAAATCTGAGGAGATGGAGCAGGAGGGGGTGAAGTGCAGGTTGAAGTTGCCCAGGATGATGAGGCGATCAGAGCAGAGGCAGAGAGGTGTAAGAAGTGTCGAAATATTGGAGATGAAGGTGGGAGAGGTTTTAGGGGGCCAGTAGAGGAGGAGGATTTTGAGCGAGAGGAAGGAGGGGTGGGAGAGGGTGAGGTGCTCGAAAGACGGGAAAGAGCCAGAAGAGTAGGGGGATAGGGCAAGTGGTGTCCTTGAGATAAGGGCTACACCACCGCCACGGCGGTTGGGGCGAGGGATGTGGTGGGAGGTGTAGCCGGGTGGTGTGGCCTCCGTGAGGGGGAAGGTGTCGCCTGGGGTGAGCCAGGTTTCCGTTAAGGCCATGATGTCAACGCTCTCATCAAGGATGAGATCGTTGATGACCAGGGCCTTGTTACAGAGGGAGCGGACGTTTTGTAGTCCGATGTGGAGGGAGCGGTTGACAGAAGGGTGTGTGGGAGGGGAGGGGGGTCCAGGTTGTGAGGCAGGGGTTGGGGAAATGGCGATAAGGGAGGAGAGGTTGGCTCACCGGGTCTCTGTCCGGGGTGGCTGCCGAGTCTGGTGGGGAATGGGGCAGTCGGTGTGGCTGCTGCTGGACAGCCAACGCCGAGTGCCACGGTGAGCCCGGCGGAGGATTCCCAGGCTGGAACAGAGGGAGGTTGTAGGAGGGTCAAGTGGGGATAGAAAGCGAGAGGGATGGAGAGAGAGGAGGACAGAGCGGGAGAGATGCAGAGGGGAGAGGCTTTGGGGGTAGAGAGGAGGGAGGGGTTGAGGGGGCTCGGGTCAAAGCGGCAGCCATAGTGCGCACGCGGGGACCGGGAGCGAGCGGTCAGGTGGATGGCATTATCCCATATGCTGTAGCTGGGGCAGCCAACCCAACAGGACCATGGTGGGCTCTGATGTGAGCCCGGGGGGGTGGGTGGGGGGGGCGCTGAGGTTTTGTTTTTTTTGCGCGCGCACACTCCTGAAAACTAAACTAGGCAGTAAATCAGGTCAGAGCTGAATTCCCATGAGTCAGGGTGACACGTGTCCAGTTACTGACATGAGTTGCTATTTGCATTTTAGACCCCAATACTTAGTGATTAGGAAATCACATCTACGGAGGGTGGGGTGGGGGGGGGGGGGCACTAGGTTGTGGACATGTGGAAAAAACAGTGTACAATATCTTAATGTAACAGACAATTCCAAATCATTTTTCCAACTTAGCAGTATGTGCAGGTCACAATGACTTCATCAAATACATTTAAATTAAACAATGTGATGAACAAAACATTTATTCTAGCATATTTCAAGGACTCCTCCAAGTATCTCTCAGTTCTAATCTGGAAGTATGACATATTGCCTTAACAACACATTGCAACTTTAACCCGAGAAAGGTGATCTGGCTTATGGGGGATGAATCTATTTCTTTAAAGGAACAGATATCATTTGGTGTGGCTCTAATGTAATTTCAGCAAGCTCATTACAGTAGTTACACTATGTTTATATAAATCATTTTGATAGAAAATTAAGTGAGACACTCCATGGAGCAAATAATTGTGACTTTTCATTATGCTTAGATTGGGTGATGGGGAAGAGTATGGTGTGCAGCATAAAATGCACAAATTGGTATTAACCTACTTATAGTCGAGAAATCCCAGTTTTATTCCAGATATGCATTGATAAAACTCACAATAAAGAGAGCCGTATCACCTCTGTACCAAGAGGCAATAGCAATAGTACATGCCAGCATCTTCTCATCCAAAGCTGAATACTAAACAGTTTGGCTGCATGCTATAATGGCAGCACTGCCTTTCATCAACAATGACCGAAGGCATGTATTGAGATGTACTGTCACGTCTGCTAAGTGCAGAGCCTTCCAGTGGAGTGGAATAGATCGAGATTCTGGCTGAAGGAATTCAATGTTTGGTTAAGTTATAAGATTTTTGAACTGCAAATATTATATGGTGCATTGCTTTCAAAAAAAGGCCCATTGTATCCGTTCGCCCACAAAGCAATCACTGCACTTTACAGTATATCCTTGAAGCATTTTGGGTCATCCGCCTGACATGAAAATCACTATACAACAACTTGCATTGATATAGCGCCCTTTACACGGGGTAGCATCCTGGAGCGCTTCACAGTGGCGAAGTCTGACACCGGGCCAGGGGGAGAGGTAGGGGGGGAAGTGACGGTAAGCACAATCTAAAAGGAAGTTGTTTAGGTGGGATTTGAATGTAGGGGAGGGGAGTGGGCAAGGTGGAACGATTAGGGAGAGAGTTCCAGAGTTTCGGGTCGTAGTGGCTGTAGGCATGGCTGATGATGGTGGAGTGGAGAAGAGGGGCAAAATGGAGGCCGAAGCCAGATGAGTGGAGGCTAAGCAGGTTGGATAGGTAGGGAGGTGCGAGAGCATGAAGGAATTTGAAAATGAGTGAGAGGATCTTGAAATCAATCCGTTCAGGGATTGAGAGCCAGTTGGAGCCTGGCAAGGACTGGGGTGATGGGGGTATGGAGTTTTGTGAGGTCAAGTATCCGGGCGGCAGAGTTCTTAATTAAATGAATTTTGTGTATGGTGGAGCTGGGGAAACCAGCGAGGAGGGCATTGGAATAGTCTAGCTGGGAAGTGATAAAGGCTTGGCCAATGGTTTCAGCTGTGTCAGTTATGAGATACAGACAGAGGCGGGCAATGTGATGGAGGTCGAAAAAAGAAGTCCTTGTCAGGGAATGGATATGTGTTAGAAAGGAAAGCTGGGTATCGAACCTGACACCTAAGTTGCGCACAGGTTCGGAGAGTCTAAGGGAGAGCACGGGGAGGTGGAGAAGTTCATACTCGCAAGAAAGATGTTGAGGGAGCCAAAGAGTACGGCTTCCGTCTTACCGACATTCAGCTGCAGGAAATTAGCACTCATCCAGGCCTTGATATCCATCAAACAAGCTGACAGAACATCAGCGGACTGGGAGTCGCAGCTGAAGTAGAATTGGGTGTCATCCGCATACATGTGGAAGTTGACCCAAGTCTGTGGATGACATCGGCAAGAGGGAGCATGTAGATGAGGAAAAGAAGGGGGCCAAGGATTGGGCCATAAGCTACCACGCAGGTGACGGGGCGGGGGAGGGAGGAGACCCATTTGCCAAGATGCATTGTTGGTGGTTTGGTAAGTAGGACTTGAACAATGCTAGTGTGGTCCCACTAAGGTTGATGAGGGAGGAGAGGCAGTGGAGGAGGATGGCGTGGTTGACTGTGTCTAACACAGCAGAGAGGTCGAGGAGGTCATATACCAAATGTAAGTATTATTATTATTATTATTATCAGCTAGTGCTTAAGCAGAATGGTGTTTGGCCACAGGACAGGGGTTTAAGGTTGTAACATCAATAATTTAATCTCAAAGATCAGGGTATATAAAAATCACACAATAAATAGACACCACTCTAGATGGGGAGGGTGGCAGAAGCCATAGCTGAAGAGAAGGTTTTGAGGGGCAGACTGGCAAAGAATAGGAATTAGGATGAACATGGGCATTTAAAAGCCTTCACAATTTTGATATCATTTGTAAAAGGGACTTTACATATATGATGTTTCCATTTGGCTTGTGACAAAGATTGCAAAATAATATCATCCTCCCACTCACCCAATTGATGTTTAAATAGCCACATATTAATTGTTTGTCAGTACTGTACATTGAACACAGAAATAACAAAACAAATGATTCAACATTTTTTTAATATAAAAAAGGCTGCACATGAAAATCCAAGAATTTGTATACAAAAATGTTATAAATCTTAAAAAAAAGTCAACAGATGTGTTACAGATTTATTGAATAGGCATTTTTTATACACAACCAAAGTTCCACATTGCACCTGTGACTTTGTACAAATAGAGCATTCCCAAACGGAACAAAAATATTCTGAAACAAAGTTTCATCTAATTACAAGCATTCACAGAGGGAAAAAAGTACAGTTTTCCATTATGAACAACAATATGTACAAAGTTCTACCAACATAGGGGTTAACCTCTGCTAGGAAATGAACTGGAAGATGCAATATGTGTATATTTACAAGTTTTTTCCTGCATAAATCTGGAATGGAGCTTAGTGACAAATGTTGCTGCTTGAATCACATGTTGCAGTTGTGGCCTGATGAAATGGGTTACTTTCAGTTGGTTGATTTACATTCAAAGTACATTGTAATGCTGTAGTTGGGTGATCTCTGTGGGATCTTGACAAGTCCTCAGCATTTTTAACACCATAAATTCTGTATTATGATTATTGCACCAAATGAAACTGTGAAGTGTAGTACTAATAGTTACCAACTGGACATACTGTGAATTAATGTGACATGTTGGAAGATTGCATCCTTAACCCTATGCCGTGGGTGCTCCTTGCTGTGCAAGCATTGTGCTGCCTGATTTAGTTTATTTAGGAAGTTAAGAACCTAATGGCCTAACCATTCAGACTTGTGTGCAACACCTAAGTGCCTCTCAGTGGATTAGCTTTTATATCCCACCATTCCCAGTTAGTAGTTCTTTAAGCAAAGAATTTGATAATTTACAGAACTGAGACAATAGGTAGTGACCGTTTCATTGATTACATGTAAGGTAAGAAAAAATAACAAACAGTAATGTGAAGACTATTGGAGTCAAATTTGATATTTCAAACTCACTGGGACTATGAAAAGAGGCCATCACATATCTCTTCCCCATCCCATCTTCTCGTGACATTTATAGAGTATTCCAGCAGGATTCAATGGCTACTATGTTTCGCCCACAAAATATACAGTCAACCTACTTTACAGGATATTCTGTGAAGCGCTTTGAGACATCTCAACAATGTGATAAGGTGCTATATCAAATGCAAGGATTATTATTATAATGTCTTTAGGAGGAGTGGAGAAATTTGTAATAGGAAGGAACTCAATGTTGAAACGCCGATGACACCATATTATTGTGGAAATGTTTTTTTGCTGTGTCCTAAAACACTTACATTATTGTATAGTTCAAATGAAAAATAAACTAAAAAATTACAAATGTTCATGCTGCAGGTGGTAATTTGGTGTATGGTTCTACGAGTCTCATTAACTCTCCTGGATTCATTCTTATTCGACTTGTGTGGGGGCATCACAGCCAAACATCCTGTAGTCAACCGATGACCATGCAAATATACTGCATGGGTGCCCAGACACAAACTCATAGGTGTGCGCACATATGCATACACTGGTGCACACACAATTTTCAGTGGGAATCAGTGAACAACAATCAGACCTTGGCCTAATTCTCTCCATTCCCCTCCTCCAGTCTATACAAGGGCCAATTGTAGCACCATACCTGCTGCTCCAGATATTAGATAACTGTCTGATCTGGTTTGCTTATCTTCATTCCACCCTATTTAACCATAGAGACCCCAGGGAAGCCAGGAAAGATGGAGGAAAACAGAGGAGAGGACAGAAAAAATCTGCTGCAGCATGAACTTTTGGAATGAGTTTTTACAACTTTTAGTTTTTCGTTCAAACTACGATTAAAAGATGAACAAGTAGAGAATCCTGGAGAGTGGCCAGCAGTGTTTACCCAGTATTAATTTCCCCTTTGTAACTAGGGTCACTGAAGCCAATTGTAGCAAGCTTAAAGCTGCCTTGGGTGTGATCATCTAACTGACAAGACTGGGTATGAAACCTGAGACCTTTGGCTACAATAACAACTTGCATTTATATAGCGCCCTTCATGCAGGTAACATCTGGGAGCGCGTACTGCAGTGTGATTTGGCGCTGAGCTGGAAAGAGAGGGGAGGTGACTGAAGGCACAGTCAAAGAAGGAATTCTTCAGGGGTGAGAGAGGGGGCAAGATGGAGGGATGTGGACAACATCTCGGAGCGCTTAATACTACTATATAGTGTATAGTAGTATCAAGAGTATATTTATACAGTGAGTTAGGCTAAACTACTAACTCCCTGTGTAAATTTGCTGAGTCATCGGAAGAGCGTACAGCTTTCTAACTAGTACTTCCATTCGCCGACAGGCATTAAAACATGAATCAATAATTGTGCAAGTCTATCAAACAGTTTGTGACCTAATTAACATTTTGAAACAAAAAGCAGCACATATCAAGCTTCCTGGCAAGGTGTCCATTACATTGCATTTCACAATGTTTATTTGAAAAAATCTCTGGAGAAACTTTGTAATAAATAATGTTTCTTTTTTGACAAGGGGAATTTTTTAAAAATAATCTAAAGACAAACTGTGTGGTACTGCATATTTAACACACACCCACAAATGTCCTTTAAACATCCTTGGAAGGTTTCGCTGAAAACCTACCTTCACATTGAAGAGATCACCAGCACAATCCCAGGCTATATCATTTATAGGTTGGTTACTAGGAATACTTAAATGTTAATATAGGCATAAATTCCTTGGTAAAACAATTTGTGGTACTTCAATAGCTTCATGTGAAAAAGCCATATTTTACATTAGATAGCCAATAACTGATCACTTTTGAATGTTGAGACTTTCATTTCCGAAGGCTGCAGTCTTTAAGATTTCATGTTGTGGTGTTCAATCCTTCACAGAAAGTCTCCAGCTCTGCAATGTATTGAGACACTGAACTAGGGAGTGCTTCGATGGCTGTCGCCTTCCAACCTTTCAGTGTCTCTAAAGCTTCCTCTAGGTTACTTGGAGCCAGCTCATAAACTGCTTGCGCAGCTGCTATCTGCACTGACCATGGGACACCTGTAAGCATTAGATACATCTGTAACTATGATCCAAACCTATACCAATACAATCCCATACCTAGTTAGAAAGCAGGTTTCTCCTTTATTCATTGACATTAGTAATGATTTGTGACAAATTATTTTGTCCTCCAAATACTGAATTTTCACACAAGCATTTTTCTAAACTGGGTACTAATACTATTTGCTTTCTTGTTTTCCCCCTGTTACCATTTCAAAATTATTGTCAAGATGCAGGCCAAGCTATCCAGACAATTTTCCCTATTGGATTCAAGTCTATGTCATCTGACATTGTGCAATTTCACACTCCTTACAAGGTAACATTATGCATATACTGCATTAATAGTACGTTAAGATTTTGCTCTAACCCAATGTCTCTCCATCCTACTTATTTGGGTAAAATTCTTCTTTTAATTCTAAGAATACTATGAGTTAAGATATCACATGGCTTTTACACATTTTTCCAATTCTACTTCATTATATTTCTGGGTTTGAAAGTCATTGATTGCTAATGCTGCCTTGCAATAGAAAAAGATGTATTTTTGTAAAATTACCAAGGCCTTAATAGAGACCCGTCAATGCAGTATGCATTCTGCCAATCTGGGTGATAGTTTGGCTCAGTTGGTAGCATTTTTGCCTCTGAGTCAGGAAGTTGTGGGATCAATGCCCACATTGGGACGTTAAGCTTTACAGAATGACAATCAAATGTAGTTTGAGGGAAAACACTGTATTCTTAGAATCATAGAATCTTACAGCACAGGAAGCCATTCAGCCCACCGTGTCTGTGACAACTCTTTGAAACAGCTATCCAACTAATCCCACTACCTCTGCTCTTACCCTATAGCCCTGCATTTTTTTTCTTTTCAAGTACCTATCCAATTCCCTTTTGAAATCTACTATTGAATTTGTTGCTTTCGGGCAGTGAATTCGCTATCGTAATAACTCTGTGTAATGAAAAAATTCTCCTCGTCTCCCCTCTTTTGCCAATTATCTTAAATCTGTGTCCTCTGGTTACTAACCCACCTGCCAGAGGAATCAGTTTCTCCCTATTTACTCTATCAAAACCCCTCATAATTTTGAATATCTCTATTAAATCTCATCCGAACCTTCTCTGCCCCAACTTCTTTAGTCTCTCCAGATAAATGAAATCCCTCATGCTTGGCATCTTGGAGATGCCATCGTTTGAATAAGACATTAACTGAAATCCCATGTACCTATTTGCATCACACTATTTGAAAAGAGAAAGGGGTTTCTCCCAGTGTCTTCACCAACAATCTTCCAAATAAAATTGGTCATTCACTTCATGGCAACTTTGTGGGACCGTAATTGGCTACTGTGTTTGTCGACAATACTATCACTATCCTTGACAACAATTCCCTACGAGGTGCTTTGGTATTATAGGAGCAATATTAAATGCAAGGATTATTAATAGAATAGAAATCACTTACCCTCTTTCATGGATTGCTGAAGGAAAAGGTTCATCACTACAGACAGATGCTTTACTTTGCTCGTATATCCCTTTGTTATTCCATGCTTACCCAGCCGACCTGGCAATTAAATCAAGCTCAGTTTAGTGCAAATATCTGACAATAATACTGGTCAGAAATGATCCTGGTCTTAAACAAGGTCATTCGCGCTCATTTACTCAACAGATTTGAGGACTGTTTTTACTTCTGTCATTTCTGAAGAAAATAATAACTCCAATACTTTTCTGCCACCACTAGGCAAAACACATTGCGATAGGCAAACGACTGCTGGGCTTCACTGGGTAAGAAACAGCAGGTCCAGTTACAGAGATGTGGAATGATAATATCTCATTGGTAGGGCCAATGAGGTAACCTTCTGCATGTGTGTATGTGGACTGTGCGTGTGGAATATATGTGTGTGTGGTGTGAATGCGTGAGAGACAGATATATGAAAATGATGTGTGAGCGAGAGCTTGTGTGAGTGGTTTATGTAAGAGTGGTGTAAGCATGGATGTTGAAGAGTGGCGTGTGCCATTTGTGCCACCCGCATACTCACCCACATATTCATCAATCAAAATTGTATTATATAATAATAATCCTTGCATTTGATATAGCGCCTTATCACATCTTCGAGTCGTCTCAAAGCGCTTCACAGAATATACTGTAAAGTGAATTGACTGTATATTTTGTGGGCGAAATGCGGCAACCAATTGCACACAAACAGTCGTGGATTAAGTGAACAATATTTTTTTTTTAACAAATTATTACCTCCGGAAAAGCGATCCGGCAATCGACTTAACAACCAGGTTCCTACATACTGCGAGGTAAACAGGCGTGTGGAGTAAGGAAACTTGCCCAATGTTTCGCTCTGTCGGGAATCAAACCCGGGTCCCCCGCTTATGAGACAAGCGTTCTGAACACTGAGCTACAGGACTCCATCTCCTTAAGTCATAGCAACCACAACTATACCCAGTACTCCAGAGTACAGAATACAACTTGACCATAACTTCTGAGGCTCCAAACTCAATTAAGCAATTGTACTGATACTCCACATTTTTATAGAATCATGGGTTTAAAAAGAAGAGTTATATTTCACAATAGTATTACTTGGGTGCTTGGAATTGCACTGGGATTGATGACTATTATTAGTGTGATTTGCGGCAGTAGCAAAGGCAAGGCAATCTTTAACCAGATGCACTTACCAATAAGTCTCAGCACAGCTCCAACAGTGACATCCTGAATGTGTAGAACATATGCTTTTCCTTTTCTGCGCTTCACCCATTTATCCATCAGAGGCCACAACTCTTTACTGAAAAGCACCACAAAAACAAGAGAGGCATTAACCACCTTCAAGGGAAAATGAGTACCATAAATTTATCACTGAAAGTCACAGCACTGAACAGAAAATTACTATCAATGAGATACACATATTTCCCTATATTTCTGCCATTTGAATCAAACTAGAACCAAAGATGACACATTCTAAATGAAATGGGCCTTCTTCCTCCAAACCTCCCTTGTGATCAGAGAGGAAATGTTCAGCAGATGGACCATCCTTTTTTTCGAAGAATAATAGACGTCAGTGGTGAATCATGTACAATCCCTTCTCAATTGTGACTGTCAATCAGGTAGTTATGAGCAATTTGATTTAAAAATATAAAATAGCTCTGATAGGATCATGAAGGGAATAATGGATTCTTAAGATTGACTACAAATCAATGTTCTCATAAAGGATCAGTTGATATAGCTACCATATACATTCTTCTAGGAAATAGCAGCCTTTAATTATATATACATATTTTATATTTGTAAATATATTACATGCATAATTTTATCTGTAAACATAATTAATGGGACATCCTCCCAATGTGAGACGCTATATGAATGGAATTTGTTGTTGCTGTTAATGAGAATAGTTTTATTCAATCCCTTTCTCCTGGTCGGATGACAATGGTGAAGTTTGGAGTCACTGACCTCTGATGACATCCTCATGAAAGAATCAATCATTTTACTATGCAAATCAACATTTGATTACCAGGAAATAAATCAATGCAAAACATGTCAAGGAAAATGGCCAGGATAAGGCCTGTGAGTGGGAGTTATACGGTAACTTGCTCATCTCTGAAATACCTGATGACATTGTCGTGCGTCAAACACCAGGGCTGCTGGGAACACAGGAGATCGATAGCAAAGATCAGCTCCCACATAACACTATTGAAATCCGTCCCCAATTCCTCATGAGCTTGAAATTTTATTGTGGGACTCCTCTGCATTGCCACCAAGAAACTCGAAACCAACTGACTTGCATTCAGGGGTGGATTCTAGGTGAAGAATTTTAACATTGAAAATTTTAAGTCAACAATTTGCTTTTATGTAAGCCTCTTTACATGGAGTAGCATCTCAGAGTGCTTAACTTCATAATAATAAGTTGCATTTATTTACACTTCTTTCAAATAAACATACATTTCAAAATACCTTGCAAAATATGATTATAAATTAAAGTGAATATTGCTATAAAGGTAAGTGTGGCAACTAATCTACATGAGCAATTTCCCATAAACAAAGAGATTAGGGCAAACTAATTTGAGGGTATATTTTGATTTGAGGGTAATATAAACCAGGATAATATCCACATTTTTTGAAATAGCAATGGCAGGCTGTACCTGTCCATCCACCTGAATCGCAAGATACTGTGATCCATGTAAGGTTGGGGAACGGCGAGATGGGTGATCTTATTGTCTTTTCTCCTCTGAAACCTAGGGTTGAATTCAGTCGCACCTCATAGGATGCAAGACTCTTCTATCTAAGCCCTTCAAGGATCTTATGTGAACTAAATTAGGCCATTCTGAACTCAATATCTATGGGCACAGGCCCCCTCCATAAACCTGCTATAATCCAGGGTTAACCAGCACTGAACCAGAGCTCTATCAAAAAAGAGCATAAGGATGGTTGCTGCAACAATATAGGTCTTTACACCTTGTGCCTTCAGTAAAAATATGGGTGCTGATCTTTTCTTGTGGGAAGTGGGATTGCCCAGATTACAATTGGGGTGATATGAAAAGAGAAGACTTTTTCTAGAATATTTTTTTACACACAAAATACTTTCCCTCTCGCTCCCCCAATTCAGACAGATACTATCAAATAAGTGCTGTTGGCTGCTCTCTACTGCCTCAAGTGCAAGTTGATTAATCTGCAAATATTACCTTTTTTCACCATAAAACTAATAAAGCCACTGTTATGTGTGAAATGTTTTGGGTACTTATTACAATTCAAAAGAAAATTTACACAAAGTAGCTCTAAAGGATAACTGCAATAAACACAATACCTTCTGCCAGTCGAGGTATACGGTCAAACACTGCAAAACATCGTCTTTGGCACGTTGCCTGGCAACAACTTGCATAGCCTTGTTAAGTGGTCCCCGCATAGAGAATATATTCTTCCAGACACTGGTGATAAATAGTATGAGTTTGTCTGAATCTGGAAAATCTGGGGGGGTGTTGGATGAGGGAAAAATGAAAAGTATAATATGGATTATGATGAAAGAACTATGTTATTAAGACTTCGGGTTGGAACATGAATCACATAGGATATTACAGCACTGAAACAGATCGTTTGACCCAACTAGTCCGGCCTGGTATTTGTACTTATTTATAAGATCTCTTCCCTCCTAATCCCCTATCCCTTACCCCTCTATTTTCTTCACCTTCATGCATATATCATTTCCTTTTAAATAAATTGATGCTCTCTGGTTCAACGGCAGCTTCTGGTAGCGAGTTCCACTTTCTCACCATCCTGTGTAAAGAAATTCCACTAAAACTCACTTTTACATCTCCTGGATAGGCATGAGTTCAAAAGAGCATTCATTGGAAATAGAAAATGTCAGTAAAAATACAGTATTGAAAATAAATCTACTTTTACTGTGATTTTACATTGCAACGAATGGGTTAGATATGGGGCAAACCCTTTTCTAACTCAAAGATTCAGGGGCACAAATTCAGACCCAATAGCCTCTATGGTGCAGTGGATACAGTTGCAGCTTACGGCCAAGGAGTCCGGGGGCTTGAATCTAAATCCACGCTCAGTTTTTGGGTCTCAAGGTGAGGGTAAATTTGCTTCAGCCTTCGCTGGGTCAGGGAGGGGAAAACCAAGAGTTCCTTCTCCTGGTCCCTCCAGCACCATCTATTGGTTGTGTGGATGTATACCAGCAAATGAGTGGAGGTCAGACAGTTGTAGCGCCTCTACAGTCAACTAGCCCGTCAATACTTAACGCCAAAGCTCACACATAAACAATAGCCACTTGGGCAGGGTATTGAAAGGCAACTTGTATTCGTTGAACAGCACCCCAGCAAGATGAGACAAGACTGGGTGCCGAGAGGCATAGGTTAGTAGCGAAGAAAATTTAGAAAAGGATGTTTGTAACTGGCTTGCCTGTTGGAAATGGATGACACAATTGGCAACTGTCCACGTTCCCTATTGGGAGCAACTAGTGTGCGAATTGGCAGATCAACTCAAGGCCTAGTGCCCTTTACTGATTGGGAGTGCTGAGTGGCTTCAGATATTCATCTGTTCATATCACAGGGCATGGAAGTGCTGCAGAAGGTACGTCTGCCCACTTTTGGTGTTTCTCACGATTCCTAGTTCTATTCATAGAATCATAGAATTATACAGCACAGAAGGAGGCCATTCGGGTCATCATGTCTGTGCCGGCTCTTTGAAAAGAACTATCCGAATCAATCCCACTGCCCCGTGCTCTCCCCATAGCCCTGCAAACTTGTCCTTCCCAAATAATTATCTACTTCTCTCTTAAAAATTGTTGTCGAATCGGCTACCACCACCCTTTCAGGCAATGCATTCCAGTCACTGGGGTATTTTCATACTGTGAGCTTACTGTTGAATTCAGTAGGACAATCAACAACAATCTAACAAGCCCATGTTATCATTACTATACAGGAGAAGAAATCAGATTCCGAACTATACAAGAGGAGAAATCCAAATCAGATTCCGAATGATTTCCAGCATGTTTTAAAACCACAGAGAGATGTTTTACTTGGCAACAAATGCCACATTTTCTCTATTGAACAAAATAACAGGTTTCAACTCTAGTAGTTGAAACCTCAACATCATAGCATCGACAACAAAAAAACAATTTTACATTTATATGACACCTTTCATGTCTCAAAACACTTTGCGGAGTCCGAGCTTGGAGTGGAGGACCAGAGGGCGAAAAGTGATCAAAAGAGTGAGAAAAGTGACCAAAAGTTCTTAAAGTAGGCTTTAAGGGTAGAGGCCAAACAGAACACAAAAGACATTGTATGTCTCAGGATGAGTAATTTCCTTACCTTCTCTAAGAATATCAAAGCAAAGGATGCGAGCTCTTTCCAAATCCCCTTGCTGTCGGCAGATTGCTGTATAAACTCGACAAAGTGCATGTAGATAGTTGATATCGAGAGTTAATCTCTCAGTCTTCAGTTTCTCTTGAATTGCCAGAAGTAAAGCTTCTGATAACTCCTGCCATTAAAAGAATAAACAAAGAGAACAGATGCAATGATTGATTAAAACGATATGCCAGAAGCAATTCCGACTCTGGGTAAGATGGTTGTGGGCTCAAGTTCCTCCTTTGGACTTCCGGTGGTGGCAGTCTAGGGTGGCGTTGCAATACATTGTCAGAGATGCCATCTTCCATGAGACATTAAAATCAAGTCCTGCTTACCTGTTCAAGTAGGCTTCAAAGATTTCATGTCACTATTTGAAAAAAGTCAGTTTCTCCAGTGACCTTGCCAACAATCTTCCAGATTAAATGGCCATTCACCTCAGGCCCATTTGGTGAAAGAGCAATTCATCTGGAGGATTGCTGGCCATGAGAAAGTATCTTTTTGAATGCTGTCATGGGATCTTTTAATACCCACCTGAATACAAACCAGCGCTCTCTCGATGATACACTGAATGGTCAACCTAGACTATGAGCTTAAGTCCCAAAGTGGGATATGCGCCCACAACCATCTGAGCCAGAGGGAAGAGTAAAGCAGGCAACTTGTGTTGACATCACAGATCTCAAATTTTAATTTCATTTTGTTTAAAATACCTTGCCTGTAAACGGCTTTAAGAGCACCAAATACAGTAAATGTCAAATAAGTTCAATCAATCGGTCGGTCAATCAATCAATCAATCAATCAATCAATCAATCAATGATCTACACTGTGCACGCATAATTTAATGCAACCAGTAAGTGCGCATGCAGTGATGAGTCAAAACTACATTTCCCGAGATTCACAGATCTTATCAGATAGACACTTATCAGCAAGCATTGGAATTGCGCTGAATCGCAGGAAAATTAAGTTCTTCTGCGCAAGCATCAACAGATCAAGACTAAGTTTCCTGCGTTTTGATGTAGCCAGTAAGTGCGCATGCGTCAACAGCTCAGGATGTCATTTCCCGCGATTCAATATAGATTCAACTTAGTGAGGGAGTAATGGAGGGTAGGGGAGCGGCACTGCGAGTTAGGAGGTAAGTAATACGAGTTGTACTTTTTAGTAATGGTTTTGATAGGAAACTGAATGGGATTTTGGTGAATGTACGACTTAGGTAATTATATGACTTATAAAGATAAGACTTATGGGAGTTTTACTGTAGATTACGCACTGTCAGCTACGTTTCTAGTTATATTATTCTGTCAGTGTGAGCTAATGTGAGCCAGGCTGCCATCTGCAGGATGAATTCTGCATAAAATAACTAGCCTATTGAGCATTGCTCCATTTCTGTCTGTGATTGTATAACTGTGATCAGATGTTATTATAAAGTTTAAAAAAGGGGTTGGAGGACGTTGGGAGGATGTCCTAAGGCGCTGGACAATCAGGGTTTCGGACCCGAACTGGGGGTCGGGATCGGGGAGGGTAGAGGGCAGGGGAGTGGAAGGAGAGTGACCGAAGGCACAGTCGAAGAGGAGGATTTTGAGACAGGTCTTGAAGGAGGCAAGGGAGGGGGCGAGGTGGAGGGACTGAGGGATGGAGTTCCAGAGGGTGGGGCAGAGTGGCTGAAGGCCCGCCCGCCAATGGTGGGGCAGGTGAGGCGGGGGACTTGAAGTAGGTGGGAGCCCGCTGAACAGAGAAAGTGTGCACATTTGCTATCAGGATTTCAAATGTAACAATTTATATCCCAATGAACCATAATATTTGTCCTCTTTTAAATATATAGAACAGTGCTATATCTTTAGAAAACACAGTACTATTAATCAGGCAAAAGGAAATTTACTATCTCAATTATAGCCCCAATTCCTTGCACCAGAAGGTTTTAAATCAAACAGACACCATCTGAATTAGATTTTTAGTGCAACTGAATTCAATGCATTTGAAGGTTTCCATTCTATTAAGGACCACACAAAGATGGGTAGGTTTTGCTTTCCATCCATCACTTCCTCCTAGTTTAGCCTTCATCTAAAAAAGGTCTTTAACAATGCTGTAACTCTGGGTTTTACAATGCGGTTTCCCCAGTTACTGGTTGACACCCAGATTCTAATGTAAAAAAAAATCACTTTGATAAACAGCTGTAACTACATCACATGGAAGAAGAATATTGCTAATATTACTGATAATTTAAAGCCTGATCTGACTGGTAGAAGCTGGTTTGAAAGAATTACTCCGAAGATGGTTGCTTTTAATATATTTCTCAGCCAACTGAGTGAATTTCTGTTGTGGCTCAACATCAAGTGACGGCCAATTACACAATCCATAATTTGTTGTATAGGAGCTGATAAACTAACTGACAAAGGCAGTATATATATTGAATTGTAAAGATAATTTTGTTGTGTCTATATCGTAACTATGTCTGTAGACCAGATGACTCTCAGTAAACATTACAGGATTCTACATCTATTGCCCTAGGTTGTCATTTTAAGTTGGGAATGGCTGAATCTCAGTTTTGTGTTGGTAATAATAAAAATAATCCTTGCATTTGATGTAGCACTTTTCACATCTTCTAGACATCTCAAAACGCTTCACAGAATATACTATAAAGTGAATTGACTGTATATTTTGGGGCTAAATGTGGTAGCCAATTGCGCCCAGCAGTGTCCCACAAACAGTCGTGGATTGAAATGACCTATTTTATTATTTTTTTTGAGGGATTATTATCAGGCGTGTGGAGTAAGGAAAGTTGCCGAAGGTTTCACCCTGCCGGGAATCAAACCCAAGTCTCTTGCTTGCAAGGCAAGTGCTCTAACCACTGAGCTACAGGTACCTTGGGGTCTGATGTCATTTGCATCTGATGCTCAAGAAGAACCCAATCAAATACCATTATTGAACAAATAAGTGGAATATGTCTCAACAGTCCTTTGTCACCAAAATAGGAATAAAACAAAGAGGAACGGGGAGGGGAGCATAATCCTTATTCAGCCTTGAACAATTATTGGATTTATAAGTACACAGAAGATAAAACTTTGCCTGCATTTAACCAACCAAACACTACAACAGTTTGATTAGATGTTTCGCTAATACACTCAGAAGATATGGAGAGATGGTAAAATAATATAAGCAACAGCTATTAGATAAATAGTTATCAAATTAATAGTTTGGCTTCTATTCCGTTCCTTGGTATATTATTCCATCAAACACGTTTCGCTTTTTGAGTAAAGATGTTTCTCTTGATATCTGTTCTAAATATACTTTTTAAAAACGTATTTCGATTCATGTCTTCTGGTTTGCATTTACGTAATTTTAATTATTTAGCTAAGCCGCTTAATATTTTATCTACTTTAAGGAGGTTTGATTTGGCACAATTCTTCAATTTGGTTTCAGAAAGGACTGCATCAAATGCAAGAATTAATGTAATATTACGATATAATTCCATGATGGAAACTATGAGTCTAAACTAGGAGAAGCTATAACGGAAGCTAAAGGTGCAGTATAAAATCAGATTCTAGAGGCATCAATTGAGTCATGCTCCAGGAGGAGGTTTCTGAACAGAAAAGATATCAGCTGCAATATGAATCCGGTTTGTACTGCAGTCCACTGCAAACGAATTCAACTAAAAAAATATTAACTTTCAAACATTTGTGGGAAATCTGATGGACCACTCTCAAACTTTTGAATGTTCAAAATAAGCCCTGCATTTGATCAGATCATTGATGAGCTTTGTCAGCTCTCCAACAAGATTCAAACATTAATTGGCTCTTAATACTGGTTAGCGTACATAAAGTGTTCCCCTCAGACCCCAACAAAAGGGATTTAGAGCAGCTCAGCATAAATTAGGTTACTTCTCTTTGTTGCTAGGATCAATATCAAACCTTTCCAGCAGCAGTATATACATATTATATTCTTCGTTCCCATTGTCAGTGACCTTTTTGTTAACTTTTATTCTTTAATATATAGAAGAGCATCCCTTTACACCCTAGCATCTCCGTATCTCTTTGATCTCCTACCACCCCATTCGTCTGTTCACTGCCTTAGCCTTGGCTAACTTGGGCTCGTTTCACATCCCTCGTTCTGCATGTAGCACCACCATCCTCAGCTGAGCTTTCTAAAACTAGAACACTTTCCTTTGATTCCTCCCTTTGCCCCCTCTTGATCAATCTAAGTTTTGCCTTAAAATCTACCACTTTGACCACGCTTATGTTCAGTTCCCCTTCCCCTCTGCTCGGTGTCCATCCACAGCACTGTAAAGCACTCAAGACATTATTGTACTTAACGGGTATTTATAAATGGAAGTCATTGTTGTAGTAGGCGTACCACCACCAATACACATCATTTTAAAAGGCATTGGCTCAATTGAGTTTACAACAGAAGTGACTTCACATGACCTATCCTTACCTTATTTTCACTAAATTCACTAATCACTTGCTTCTCTTCATCTCGCAGCACTGGGAGTGAAGGAATATTCCCAACAAATATGTGGCTGCGAATAACTGGGAGCAGATCAAAGCAGGACTGAGCAAGTTTTGCTAATGCACAGACCACAGCCTCTTCACTGGACTTAACGGGTTGTTCTGGTGGCAGGGAGGAAGGTTCAGGACTAGCTTTATTGTGGGGTTTCTGTTCTGCTAACTCATTGTGGAATGGTTTGGTTGTGCCAGCAGCAACTGCAGTAGAGGACTCATTTGAGGCAACTATAGGAGAAGGATGGTCTGCATTCTCAACACCCTGTGCTAGTTTTATTTTTTTAGGCATTTTCCCAACAAGGTTTTCCGCAGCTCTTTTGGCAGCAACCTTCTCTTCTTTGGGAGTATCTCCCTTCTCAGTCACACTTGCAACTACTAGCTGTTTCTGCTCTGGATCCGTTGCACGCTCCTTGTTCATTCTGCATTCAGATCTGCAGTTGTTCCCTGCTTTTACAAATGCAGTTGCAGTTGAGTTGATTGCTTTGAATCCCACAATTTGGTTCACGGCCCCGGCTTGGCTCTCTCCGTCTGGAGGCCCACGCATACTGAGTTGAACGTTCCCACGGAGAATATTTAAAGTCCTGGCACGGGCTGAAAGGTTGGGATACATTGCATCCAGGATTTTGACTGAGTTCTCCTGAGGCAGACTTGTAGCTACGGTTGCTGACGCAGACTGAGGTAGTCTCCCAGGAACAGGAACTGCGTGTTTTGGGGTAGCAGTACAAAACTGCAAGGGCGAGGACTGGATTCTTTCATTCCTTGCAAAATCTAACGGGGACGGAGAGTGTACAGATGGAGATTTCTGACGAGCCTGATCAAACAGAGGTGAAACGGAACAAGGCTTTGGGAGCTCCACTGAGGAAAAGGACAGTTCATCCACAGGCGAATGCACAGACCGTACATTTGAAGCTAAAATCAAAGGTCTGATTCTTGCTGTGGTTCGAGGTGGTGTAGCTACAAGTGGAGCTAGCAGAGGGGGCAAAGGCTGCCCCATCTCTAACATAACTTTGTGGATGTTACCTGCACTCAGTGGTGATACAGAAGTGTCAGTCTGAGATTCCCTAAGTAGACTCTCATGGTCTGAACCTCTGCTCTTCACTCTCGAAGTGACACGGCGCTTGACAGTCCCAACCTTGAACTTCTTTGCATTGCTGCCAGTTTGCTGGTCATTCTGAATTTTGTCAGTTGAAGTGAGGAGCAAATCCTTGTCCAGCCGCAGCTTCTTGCCTTTTCTAGTCTTCCTGGGAATTGGCTCACAATCTGAAATTTCAATTGTGTTTGCGGCCATTGGGTCATCCAGTGTGCTTTCAAACACCTTGTTTTTGAGCAGCATAGATGGCTCACCAGATGCCCCAGTATCAGAAGCATCATTGAGAAAGGTTGGGTTCCACAAGCCACTACACTGAGAGCTCCTTGTCTCTAACTCACACCTCCCATTACCTTTTTCATCAACTTCCATCTCCGGGGCGGGCAAAGCAACAGTCGATGGGTCTCTGTTGATGTTAAGCGTGTGTTCCATACTACTAATTGACAGTTCAGTCTGCGAAGAGGAGTCCACTTTCTGTGTGGTTGACATGCAGCTGCAGCTTTTCTTTTCAGTTTCATTGGCATGTGTAGAACTATCTGCTATTTGATCGTATGAGATGGATCCAGGCATTTCCTCGACAGTTGTAGTATTTTCCTCATTCATTTGGACGCTAAAGTGCTCTTTTGTACAAAGGCCGCTCTCAGTATCAGAACAACTTCCTGCAGACTTGTCCATGCCTCCTTGCGATTTATTCTGGGAATTATAATTTGCAGGTAAATTACTTTTTCCTGATTCACTGCATTCTGACAATGTGTTGGTCTTCGGCAATAATTCAGTCCAAGTCTCAATGGGGTGAATGTTTAGCTTAGAGTTACCTGAATTTATAGGTGGAGTTTCACACCCCACTGATATGGCATCTGTGCTATCTTCATCTGCCTCAATGTTTTCTTTTGAGTCAGCGTCCGTTTCCAGCTCAATTACTGCACAGACAATTTGTAAAAGGTTACTCGTTGTTTCTGTCAGCTCCATGTTACTCCATTCCACGTTCTGGATTGGCCTATCAAGAGGAATGTTGATGAACTCTTCTTCAGAAGTTGCTACAATTTCCTCATTGAAGATGCTTTCTTTTAAGTCAGGTACATTTTGGGAACCAAGGCGCAACTCGCCACATTTATCAATGAAACGATCAACATCATGATCAGCTTTGTGACCCTCTGACCAACAATTCGTATTTTCAGTTGTTGGTGCAGTCTCTGTTCCAGCTTCTTTGTGGCTACTGGTTCTGTGTTGTTCATTGCTATTCACTTCTGTAGCTTCAACAGGTGATTCCTCAGGAGTCATAGACTCAGAGTGCTTTTTACTCCTGACTTTTAAAACCAACACTGGTTTCTCTGGTTCCAAGCTTTGAGCATCTTCACTTGTCTCACAATTCTGAGCTGTGCATAATGGCTGAAGGGATAATGTTTCCTGGTCATTAAAAGGTACTTCCCTGCTTTTCAAAGCTAAGTCTGTACTTTTTTCTGGATTTACATTTAGTTTGGAATAGACTACGTTATTATCTGTATGGTTATCGATTGGTTTCTTCTCCCTGGCCTCAGTAAAGCATTCTTGTCCAACACTATCCAATGACACATTTGGACCTTCAGATTCATCTGCAAAAGTATAAGCTCTAACACAATCTGTTATCTTCTGCTCAGAAGACGATTGATTATCCAAATCCCTTGGAGCACCATCCTCATTGCTGAAATTACTCCCCTCATTTTCTTTTTTCTTTAGCTGGTCTTTTTCTTCATTCAGTTCACAGAATGGATTTTCACACACCACCTCTTCTACTGTTCTCATCTCAACAAGCACACCTTTGCTACTGTCCCCCACACCCAAAATGGTGGATTCTTCCCTCAATTCAGAGATTACAGTGAATAAATCTTGCTGTTCACACTGGTGAGACAGTTGCTCAGTAAAACTGTGTTCCATAGACTTGACACTCTGGTTGAATAAATCCTCAGTAGAACTTAACTCCACAGACTTGTCTTTCTGGTTGGCTGGATCCTCAGTAGAATTGAACATTACAGACTTATCCCTCATGTTGGGCAGGTCCTCAGTAGAACCAAACTCGACAGGCTCGACCCTCTGTTTGGAGAGATCCTCAGAAGAACTATAATCCATAGATTTGTCTTGAGCCAGGCCAGCTACCACAGAGCAGTCTGATGCAGGAAGTGTCTCCATCAAGTTAGCAGTGTCTTTTTCCTCTCTCATTGTAAACTCTCCCCAATTCTGCTTAGGGGAAGTATGGGCAGAAGCCACTGCGCTTTTAGCATCCTGACCAGCAGATATAGAACTACTGGGATTGACCTCTTCTACCTCATTATTAGAAAAACAATCTTTGAAGTTGTTCTGAGCAGAAATAGATAGCACAGAACAGTCAGATGCAGGAAGTAAAGGCAGCTGTTCTGCAGAAACAATCTGCATGATTTGTCTCCCTGCTACTGCTGGTTTCATTTCACAAAGTTGTTTCCTCTCCCTTGTTGAACACTCTTCTTGGGCCACCTCGGCATCAGAGGACTCAGCAGCACCAGCTTGCACTGAACAATTAAACTCTGGCAAAGGAACTATTTGGCTTTTTTTTCTTTCAGACTTTGGCTCAGATTGTTTGACATCAGAGAACTCCACTAACATTGCTTCAGATTTATCCCCATTTTGACTGTGAGGTGTGAAACTACCTAGACTGGCTCCCTCTATCTCATCTGTAGAAACATCAACCTTGAACTGATCCTGAGCAGCATCAGCTGCTGCATAGTGGTCAAACTCTTGAAGGAAAGATGCTGTCGACTCCATTTTATGAAGTGGGCTTCTCTCCTTTGTCGTATACTCCGTGTGGATGAGTTCAGTAGAGGATTGCACTGAAGTTACTCTGCATGAATATTTTTGACTATCAGACATACCACAGTTTGAATTAACTTCTCCCATTTCATTCTTCCCCCTGAAAATGCATTCTTTTATCTTGTCCTCCACAACATCAGTCATCGCAGAATACTCAGGCTTAGGTAGGGGGGTTACCATCACCGTTTTCTCCTTCGTCATAAATTGAATTTTGGTGTGCTCCATTTCACACACTGGAATTACTCTACGCTCATATTCGGGGTCTACAGGTGCAAACCCATTGGATTTAACACCTTCTAATTCTATAACAGAAGTAGAACTACCCTTGTCCAACTCAATTGGATCACAGGCAGATGTTATACTTTCCAATTCTTGATGTGGCACTTCATCACCCTCATTCTTTGCCATAGATTCTGTTTGGGCAGCATTTGTAACAAAGGGTTTAACTGAAGCTTTTACCCATTCAGTATCGAATGGTAAAGTATTGGAATGAACTTCTTCCATTTCCATTGGTTCAGTATTCAGTTCACATGCACGGCTTTCCTGTAGTAAGATTTCACCCTCTTTCTCTACTTGAAGAACAGCTTCTAATCCATTCTCTTCTTTCCTACATGGCATAGTTCTTTCATGTTCAAGTTCTATCCTTTGGTAACTAGATATCAATGAATCTGCAATGTCTCCTGAAACTTCTGTATTGCCAACATGTGCACTGCTGCCACCATTACCGTGATCATGTTGAGGAGATGGTAATTGATCTTTATAAATAGCATCATGTGCAACAGCAGAATCAGTACTCTGTGTTTCTGAAATCGCTGGTGCATTGGATTCCTTCACATCTCCCTGAAACAAAACTGTACTTTCTACTTCTTTTTCATCTTCCAACTGTAGATTTTTACACTGTATTTCTCCAGCAGTCAAACAAGGAACTAACAATTCGCTCTCCACCAATTTGCTCTCTGTTTCAGTTTCCATCAAGCTGGACTGACTCAAATCACCCATTTCTGTATCTGAGCAATCTGTTTTTCTGGCTGGCTTCCCTTTGGTAACACTTTGGAGAATGATTGCTTCCACCTTTGGTGTTTGGTCTGGGTTTGGCGGCTCAATGCACACAGACACATCCAGAGGTTCAGCTGCAGTGCCAGTGTCCAGATCACCACCATTGTAGGTTCCTCCAGATACATCGCCAGCCTCATCATCACTTGAATCTGTAATATTTCCAAACAAAGCTTGCTGTGAAAGATAAGAAAAAGTCAATTATTTTTTGTAGTTATTTATCCTTTAAATTTGTTCACGAACAAAGTTATATTAAAGTTTCATTGCATCTTGAATAACAAACACAATGTGAGTCATAATGGGACACTAGCCCCGATAACAAAAAAAATCAGTTAAATCAGAAGTGTGCTCTTTAACGTGGGACTTACTCCTACTGACCTAGTGCTCCGTGGCTATGATGCAGAAAAGATGAACGGCAAATATTATCAATAAAATTTTGATCAGGAGACCCTATTGTATGCCATTCCTGCTGGAACAATCCAGGTTAGAACTCTGCTTTGCAGATGGATGTATTTAGGGGAGGGGGAATCTCTTCAAACAACACAGTGCCCTTATCTGCTTGTAAAACAGAGTGCCACTGGGCACATGAGCCCCTACTACGGATCGCATTTTCTCATGGCATCATGGAGTCTCAACTAAACCATTTGCCAGATAAAGGTAAAGGGGTTGTAATTTTCCTATAGACGTAGAAGGTGAACAATTCATCCAGTGATGCTCTGGCAGCACAAAAATACAAAAGAAACATTGGGCTGAACACAGGATTATTCATTTCAGTAACTAATCGATTACTACAGATTTATGTGAAAGAAATATCTTGAAGCTCTTTATGGAATAATCATAATTAGGAATAAAGTGAATGCTGTTAGAGGGAAAATCTGGTTTATATTAGCAACATCCTACAACAATGAGACATATACCCAATTAACTTGGATTTTTGGGCTGAATTTGGGTGAGGAGGAAACATAAACCAAGATAACCAGGGAAAAATCCACTTCTCTTTGAAGTGTGAGAGGGGTCCATTCAGGCCCTCTTGGCATACGAGGCATAAATCAATGACTCAATCGAAAAAGGGATTACGATTGGGAAATTAAAATGATAAACCTATGTTTAATATAGGCAAATGTTGGCAAACACAGCAGCCAAACTGCACCAGCAACTGTCCACACACAACAAAGAAGAGAGCAATGACTGTTAATGCAATTGATCATAGTAGACTGAAGGACAATGAAGCGATCAAAAAAGACTGAATTAAATTGTTCTTGCACAACTATCACCACTTTGCTCAGACGTGCCTCTTTAGCTGAAGGCGAACATGGTAATGGAGACAATTGTGGAGGAAGAGGCTCAGTCCAATCAAGTATCTCTTGTAGTTGTTGGCTTAAAGATTCTTGCTCAGCATCATCATCATCATCAGTATCAGTTCCAGAAATGTACTGACAGTCAGCTGGATCTTTCTGGATAGTCAGTTCAACAGTTCTGTCATCGTAGAAGGCACGGTCACTAATGTTTTTCAGTCCCTCATCATTCATACTCTCGTCCACCTCGATGTGAAATCTATTTTCTTCGTCGTCGCATTTAAGCTGAGGTGAGGGCAAAGACTTTGATAGCTCTGCGATTTCCAGTGGACTGCTGTTGCTTGGATTAAATAAACTGTTCCTCAGTTTAGATTTAATCCGTGAACTCCTTCGTTCGGCTGCAACAAATGGGAAAAAAAATTGTAGAAACATTCATAACTTTTGCACTTTTTTTCAAGTTGAGGAACATTGGAGACAGTTCTGTCCACTTTTGTACAGCAACAGCAATACACAATCGGAATATGTACAGCACACACGAGGTTCAGAGTAAAGCTCCTCGTGCTATCTCAGTAGTAGAACAGCAATATCGGTTTCTGTAACTCAGTAATATTGACAAGTTGCAGCAAGGTTCCACTGAAAACCAAGGCTGCATACAGAGAGCATTGAATCAGTTTGGACATAATTAAACTCATGTTCTAGGAACAGCAACCCTCGGCCTCCGCAGTTCAGTAAAATTGACAATCTACAGGGATTTTGTGCGGTGTTCTGTTGAAAGAGGGGGTCGAGGCTACCAACAGACGCAGAGTACTGGGAGATAATTAAACTCGCGTTCCGGGAACAAAATGAAAAAATAGATTCCAAATCACTCTGCTCCCCAGTTCTTTTGCAGTTTGTATCCAGTCTGCTCTTCCTCATCAAGTACTGGAACTCTGTCGTCACCTCGGCCTCCGTCTCGCTCCCCGTTCTGTTCAAAAACCTCTCTTCAACTGAGCCTTTGTTCACCTCCCTCCTACCCTATCTATTCCCGATCTTGCTCAGGTTTCTAAATAGTAATCCCTATATTTGGTATAGCACATTTCAAGTCAGGAAGACATCTCAAAGAGCTTCACAGGATATACTGTAATGTGGTGTTACTGCATTTTGTAGGCAAACATGGTTTGAGATATTAGCATATGAAAGAAGCTATAAAAACACAAATTGGTAGACATAGTTAAATAACCACATAATTGATAAATAACCAATGTACTGTTCTTAAGCCAAGGGTTGAAACATTTAGTACACTGTTCATGATGGTTCTGGTTCATGTCCGCATTATATCAGCTGATTAACATCTCAGCTGGGGCAATTTCTCACAGGACTGTGTGGTTCAACAGTGAAGCACCGAATCGCTAGAACACTAGACTGCCATAAATAACTCCTATCACCACACAGTCATCCATAAAAAGCTCATACATATATATATAGTGTTCAAAAATAAAAATAAGACTGTTCCAATTAATACATCACTAAGCAAATTATCCCATCTTCGATCTATGTGCCAGAAATCTAAAATGGACACTGAGACCCAATGCTTTTTTGTTAACTCTAAATTTAAACTCTGCTTCACATAAGCCATTCAAGACTTGTGAGATACTCAGCAAGATTGCAAGTATAACCTTGCTATAACATTTCTAATTTTTCACTCAAAGCTCCTCTTTACTTGGCAATGCAAGGGACCAATACAGTTCATTCCAAGATTTAGTTGTGCTCATTTAATTTATCTGAACCTTCTTTCTATATTTTGAGCATACCTGGGCTGTATACGTCCTCCTTGTCCGGGGTCGTTTGTGCACTGGGTTTTTCAATACACTTCCATACCTCTTCCAGCAATTCTTTCACTTTCTCTGTGGAAACAATGAACAGTCGGCAATCCAGACTCAATGTATCATTCTACTACTACTACATGCTACCAAAGCTATCAAATCACTAAAATGTACAAAAACACATTGAGGCGATGTTTGAGGTTAACATACTTTAATGATGAAAGTTTTTTTGGGGTTAGCTGGGTGTCTGACACATGCGTAAACCCATCACCATACTTAACGGTATACAAACCAAACTTTTTTCTTGAGAGTTCCATACATCCTACCTACACATGGAGATTCCAGAGATGATTTATCAGAATGGACTGTGGGCTCTCTCCCTGCTTACCTAATTCTAGAGAGTATGAGGTGCAGGTTAGCAACAGTCGAGGCTTAGGGGATCCCAGAGCGTGCACTGTAGTACTGCCAGCTAAAATCACACAGCTTGCCATTGATATTGCTGTCCAGCCAGCTTTCCTGCTGCTTGTCCAGCTAGGACCACCCTACCTGTTAGGGTTTTGCTTGCAGGATTAATGGGAGATGAATGGGAAGAGTACCTACCCCCAGTGACAGGTCTGCACTTCCAAGTCCTGCCAATGACCTAGGCGGGCTGTGCTGTCATCAGCAGTTGCCTGGAATACTCCGGACCCATTTGGTTTAGGAACTGGACTACCGAGACCACCACAGAGGGTGGACTCAATTACGACATTCCATTGCCAAATATGTCACATTAGAGCCAGTTCAGCAACAAGGAAATCTCAGGGGGTATATTATCTGAACATGAAGCTGTTTTTATTTTATCCAGCAGCTCCCTTTTAAAGAACACAGCAAAACACAGATACTTTCACACATTATGTGATGTTGAGCACTTACTTTTATCTATTGTATGCAGTGCTTGTTCATTGATCTTCCTGTTCTGCACCTGCTTTGAAACTGTAAAACATAAACTCTTGTCTTCAGAAACATTTTGTGCTGCACACCAAGGGGAATTATTTTAGAATGCAGATTTCACTTCTTACCTTTTATGCCATTTTCCTGCTGATCCATTAGTTTTTTCTATTGATTTAAAACAAATTTAGATGTATCAAACCTTCAGAAAAGAAAACATAACCCCCCAACTCACCTTCAAAATTTCTCACATGGAGCTTGAAAGGTACAATGAATACAGATAAGTGACTAACCATGAATATTATTGAAGAATCACAAAGATGCACAGCTCAACAGTAGCTGTAATTTATCTTTCTGAACTGGTTACAAGTTAAGATTGTCTCAAGTATTTTTTTCCAACCATTTCACGCTGGCAAAAATATGCTCATCTATTTAAGCATACTATAAAATAAGCACTTTAAAGATCCCAAATGAGTTTTCTATCAACACCAATATCAAAACTAGGATCATAATTTCACTCCTTGAACTTTACAGACTTTTCGGCTGCTTCTTGCATGAGGCAGTGGGTTCGATATTGGCATTTCACCTCTGGGCTCACATCCAGCTTGGAAGATGGGAATACTGACTGTAATGGTCTTAAATGATTGGCCTCAATCCAGTTATTAGTTGGCATAGACTCCCAGCACAAAACTGGTTTTAATTCAGGACTTCACAATCTGACAGAGAAGAGCCACAGGATGACTGGTACAGAAAATAGGACACAGAGAATGCCACAGGGTGCAGTAAAGGATACTGTTCTGAGGTGTAGAGCCGAAGCTGCATCTGAGTGCTTGATCCTAACACCATAAAGATACTTAAATATGCTGCAAGCAAAATACTTGGTTTAATTTTGATGTAGGTTTCCCATACAGTTTACATACTTAGGGGATGACTCCTTTATAAACACTGAGGTGTAAAATACAAGCTGTAATGGGATTCCTTAATAATAATAATCCTTGGATTTGGTATAGCACCTTTCCATGTTAGAAGGACTTCTCAAAATACTTCACAGGATTTAATGTGAGATGGAGTGACTGTGAATTTGTAGGCAAACGTGGCACCACAATTGCGCACAGCAATGTCCCACAAACAGCCATGAAACAAATGACCCAAGTTTATTTTGGGGGATTGTTAAGACACAGGATAAACTCCCTTGTCTTTTCAAATTGTACCATGGGATCTTTAACATTCAACAACAAGAACTTGCATTTGTATAGTGCACTTCAGGCTGGGTAGCTTCCCAGAGCACTTCACCTGAACAGTTAGACGGGACCTCAGTTTAATGCCTCATTTGAAAGACGAAGAACAATTAAGTCGCAAGTTAGGAACATGTCCAGGAACATTGCAACTCTGTTCCTGGAATATATTGTGTTGGAGATCTCCTTAGTTGGTGAGGCTCATTTTGTCCCCATTTTCTTTGTGGATTGTTATTAACGAATCCCAGTAGAAATCGCTGCATTTTAAAACTAATTCCCATATTGCTCAAACAGATGTCATACACATGTGGGATTCTGTGGACATTATCATTTACCTAAGTAGATTCTGGCTCTTACCTGAGTTTTCCTTAAAGCCTTTTCCAGTGACAATTTCTCTTTTTTCACTGCTTTCAGGTCTGCATTTTGCTTTGTTGTTGTTTCTATTGAAAAGAGATAATCAATGAAAAAAAATTAATAGATCGGAACAAGACATCCCCCAGATTATTCAGAGCTGTAGTTTCCATTGATACTCCAACTCATGTTGAATTTTCCAAGGCAGCAGGAATTTACCTACTCATCAAATTCTAATTGTGAAATCACTTCAAACTCAAGTTATTAAACATAATTGGCTACATTTCTAAAGTTAATAATGGTCTCCACTTGCTAAGAATGTCCACGCCACTATAAAGCACTCTGAGACATTATTCTATGGGAGTGCTGTTTTTGAAATGCAAATTGTTACTGTTAAGAGTTTTGGTATTCTAACAGAAAGTGTGCAATAAATATCTCAGCACATTTGTACAGGGGATTTGAGGGAACATTATGGTATTACAGGGGAATCCCTTTATAACACCCTTCAATATAGCACCGCTTTGCTTACAGTAATGGACCTCAACATATTGTGATGATAAACAATGAAAGATTTTTAACATCCACCTGAGGAGACAGGGCCTTGGTTTTAATGTTTCATTCAAAGAAGAGCACCTCTGACAATCCAGCATTCTCCCAATACTGCTACGAGCTCTTAATGTGGGATTTGAATCCACAATTTTCCAGCCTAGACAGGAAAGGGCTACTAAATGAGTCGAGATGTCATTAGTTAACAGCAGGGAGAGGGTTGCTTGACAACACAGGTAAATATGTATAATGCTCTGCCCACAAAACCTGTAGAAGTGAGTCAATAGGGCCATTTTAATGAGAGACACACAGACGCTTGGGAAGTACAAAGGATAAAAGATATGGAAAAAATGCTGAGTTTGGAATTAAAAGATCTCCCAAGATCTAATAAACTGGCAGAACAAGCTTGATAGGCTGAATGGCCTCCCCCGGTCCCATTTTCCCACACTCCTATGAAAATAAAAGAAGCACATTGCATCTGGTTACCTTCCAGTTTCTTTAGCCGTGCTTCCAATTTCTTCTTCCTAAAATTCAAGTTGGAAAAAACTCTTTAAGAATCCAAAAGACAAAAACCAAAAATGTGTGTACAACATAAAGTGGCATAAAAAAAGCCAGTGGTACTCTGCACTTACAGCATATCGTGTTTTGCTTGTTCTTGTTTCAATACAGTATATTCTGAGTAATTCTGTTGGTACATCTTAATTGAGCTCTGTTGAGTGACAAATAAGAGAAGAAATGCATTGTGAACCTAGAAAGCTTGTTTTTTTTATTGGGAGCGAAATTTCCACTGGTCTATTCCAGTGTGCTGCCTTATATACATTACCTTCTTTTCCTCCAGCTCTATCCTCATGGTCTTCATCTCATCCTTGCATTTCTCCACAAGCGTACATTTTTCCAACAACTCATCCATTTGATGTCGAAGTGTTTTACACTCTCTGTGGAGGAAGGCAAAGGTGACATTTGAAAACAAGCACCAAAGTAGCCACATTAAATTGCATGATAGGACAAAGGAGATTATTTAATGTAATACAATGGCAGAGAGAAACTAAATCATTATTTATGCATTTATCATCAATATTTTCAGTCCCTCAATTGGTGCTTTCAGGGTGAATATCCCTTCCGAGTTGGACTTGCCGTTACCCCGCTCACCTTTACCCCCATCTCTCCCTTGTTTCCCACTCCACATTCATACCTTACATGAAGCCTACAACCTGCTCCTCGACCACCTCTCCACCCAGTTGATGACTACCCAATTTACCATCCTCTGCCTTAGGGCCAAGTTGAAAGGATACTGAAACAGCTGTTCCACATTAACCAGGCTCTCTATAGGTCTGCTGGCTGGCTAAGAGTCAATAAATTACTTAATTGCCATTTTCTAAGTGTTCATATTTTTCATTTTTTTAAAAAACACACACGGAAGGTGGTAAAATGGTACCTAATCCACTCAAGATTTTCAGGATCAAACCCTAGTCTCTGCTAGGTGTAAGGATCCTCCATGAAAAGAACTTGGCCAATCCTAATTCAAATGCCAGTGGAAGTAACCCACTGCCAAAATCTCTTCCTTACTGGCAAGACCTGGCACCTCATAAGGATGTGTGATGCAGTTTACTTTCCCTTGTCCCCGCTTCACCCTCATATCTTACACGAAGCCCACTAGTTGCTCTTTGAACCCCACCCACCACCCATCCAGCTGATGATCACGCAACTGACCCTCCTCTGCTCCCTGCTGGCAGACTTACTGGTGGGGGGGATAGGGGGGTAAAATTGAGGATGCATTGCCCTGCAGCTAATTATACTAAGTGTGTTAATGCTGACACTTGAGGGTAAGTTTCTAATAATAATCTCGCTCCACCAAGGTCAATTTACCAATCAAAAGAGAATCAGAGGTGCTCACACCATCAAGACCATCCATTGATTGACCAGTGGAGAGTGACTTCTAAAGTGCCTCCAATAGGAACTCGTTCCATCCTTCTGCCTTGACAGATACTGACATTCACACGTAACATATAAAACCTTCCGGATTTGCATTTAGTTAATCTGAAAACAGTGGTCGAATACTCTTAAGCAATAATAAAACTAAAATATTCATAGAAAAAACACACTGTACCTTTTTCAAACTGTGCAGNAAAAAACATTTAATTGTGTCCTTTCCAATTCTTTTCCCTCTGGTTATACCAGTTGGTGCTCACTTATCTTTGTTCCCTGGGAGCATTATAGATAAACAATACTGCTGCGCTCACAGTCCGTAAATCAAAGGTACACCATGCAGCTTCTAATGAAGCAAACTTCACACAGCATGGGGGTTGCCCTCAATGTCCACATTGAACAATAGTTATTAGTTGGAAAATGGGTCAATGCATTGCATTTGGCTTAAATAATTGGGCACAAAGAATTGGATTGCAAAACTGAAAACATATGAGTAAGAAAAGAAACATCAGTGTTGCAATTATCATCTCAGCACATCACTATGGAAAAATAAAACATTCTTACCTTTCAGTTTTTTGGAGTTGTAATAATTTGTTAAGGAGAATTCACATCTAAATGTAAATGAGCTTAGCATCTTTTAAAATAAAGTCACATTACAGTTCAGTAAAACTGTTCCAACACACAACACTCTTACTTATAGCAATTGCTAAAATCAAGCTTTGTGTTTACACAACATTTTTACTTCTTGTATTGCAACTACTTTGTGTATTGTGGTTAAGAAAATGACACAAACACTGTACTGAAAAAGTTATTCAGTGGTTTGACTGTCAAATGTGCAAGCACGAGCATCTGCTGTAAATACCAGACATGCATGATTTCAGCCGAAGAATGTGATCTACATAATTTACTAACAGGATTCAAAACATCCATTTCATCAGCAAAAATGATAAGCCTTTAATAATAAAACAATGCAGCAAACCATGAAAAATGCCACTTAGCTTTAATTTTATAAGAAAGCCGAGATGTACAATACAGAAAGTGTAAAGATATTTTATTTAGAGCATTTTGAGAGAGAGAGAGATAAAAGCACCACTGCATTCATTATACCATTTATATCAAGAAAGGATATCATCACACTTTTTCTGGTATTCTGTGAGAATATGGCTGTAAAAAGAAAAAAAAATTAAATTATTTGAGAAAATATTTCTGCCAGTCTTCTTGACAAGGTGAATGTATAAAAAGGGATCTTAAGACATCTTATCAACATACAACAAAACATATTGAAATCATAATGGACACACAAGTCATCACACCAGCATATATTTAAACCTGGAGCTCTTAAAAATAAATGATGAGATGCAAATGGCCTAAAATTGCATAAAAGGACAGTCTGTCCCAAAGAAAAACAAACATTCACTGCTATCTCCCAAAACCCTCAATAGATGTATTTGCCAAACATCTCTAATTCCCCCTTGAATGTGCTAACACAATCTGCAGCCACCACCTTTCTGGGTAGTCTATGCAACATGTTTAGCATTTTCTGTGAAATAATTAAATTTAACATTCTGTTTACACTCCCACTTCTGAGTGCAAGCTCTCCTTTTTATAGTGTGTGAACATTTTAAGCATATTACTAGGGTTTAGTATTACAATAACATCTTCCCAGTCTCTTCTGTAAAAGTACAACATCACTTTTCATTACCCGCTATTTGCTACATGAAATAATACTTGTTTATCAATGGGCTCGTTATCATCAGAAAACTTAGCTTTATTTCTGTCCCATTTCCATAATTTATGCATAATATAAATAGCATTGACCCTAACCAGATCCCCAAGGCACCTGCTAATTGTCTCTTTTTGCTGATGCAGGTTTACCTACAACCTCCTGCTGTTTCCTATAATTCAGCCAATATCCCAGGATGAATTCTTTTTTTAAAAAATAGAACACACAGTGGGAAACGTTAAACCATTTCAGCTGTGAAAGCATGAATAAAAAATCCTCGTGAAAATAAGCTGAAAGACAGATCTGCACAATTGGCATTATTATATTTTTCTTAAATGGAGAATTTAATTTATTACAATACATAATTTTTACAGAAAAATTCTAACAGCAGAAACAAAATTACAGTCTGTGAACAATAAATCATGTACTTACTCTGTCTCAACAATTTTTTGCTTCATTGCAATTAATGCAGTTACATATTCATTCAAATTCTGAAAGAGAAAGCAAAAATGACATTATTAAAAAAGGGTAAAAGGGTATTTTAATATGATTATTCCATTACTATTTGCATAAAAGGAATTATAGAGGTCACCAGGTTGTTGCTATATTCAGGGTCAAGGTCCTGTTCGGCTGGTAGCACACTTGCCTCCAAGGTAGAAGTTTATGGATTCAAGCCCCATGTTAGTACTTTGAAAACTCACATTCTAGGCTGACACTACAATGCATTGAAAGAGATGCACTCTAAGATGCTATCCTGTGTGAAGGGCACTATATAAATGCAAGTTATTGTTGTAGCTGTGGTTCCTTCAGATGAATGGTTAAACCAAGGCCCCTTCTGCTTGTGCAGGTGGACATTAAAGATCCCGTGGCACGATTCAAAAGGGATGTCCTGACCAACAATCCCCCAAATAAATTCACTTAATTGGCTGTTTATGGGTCACTGCTGTACACAAATTCCCTGTGTTCATCTGCACAATACAGTCAAAGAAACTGGCTATCAAAAGAGAGGTAACTCCCTCTAGTGGCATTGAAAAAAAATACAATGTATAATTTAATACAGTAGAAACCTCACTAATCCGGTCACTCAAGTGACTGGGCAAAAGTGACCTACTTCGTGAGGTGACCTGATCACTGAAACGGGTCGGGTGATTCAGGTCACTGATGTAATTTTAAGGGCATTGGTAATGGGGAAGGGTGATGAACATTCAACAACCATACTTATTAAAATAAAGGCAATGTCACATTTAAAACAAAAGCCGTCATGTATTTAGATTTCCTTTCGAGAATGCATTCAACTTGTGTTCTGCCAAATCCATAGATCACAGCTAACTGTCTATGACTTTTGCCCTCACTGTTTTTGATTAAGTCCACTCTCTTACGTAAGAACAATTCCTTCCGTGGTAGCACGTTTACAACACATACCAAGAATTGGCGGCAGGAGCTCAGGTTAGGCCGTGGACGGCGGGTGAAGTCGATTTCCCGCTCACGTTGCTTCCACGATCCCAACACTCCCCGCACCGCGCAATCGAGACCGAAGTCCACTCCGCCCACAGTAGCAGCGTCGGGAAAACAGCGAGAGAAGTCCGAGGCCTAACGCATTGTGTACTCTGCAGGTTAGTAGCGGAGGGGGGTGTTTGTACCGTGTTTGAAGCGGAGGAGGGCGCTCTAGTGGCCACAATCAATGACCATTGTCTTGAATAGTGAGCTGCCCGGCTTACTGAAGCAGACAGACAGCTTATCTTTTAGTATAGACCGTGAAAGAGACTGTGAAAATGTGCCCGCAATTGTGAGGTGTCTGGATTACCGAGGTGACAGCAAACCGGATTTCTACTGTACTATGTCATACGTTTGTGGGAAGTGATTAACAAGACTTTAGAGTGCAAGTACATCCTGTTAAACGCTTTGAGATGTCCTCCCGGTGTGAAAGGCGCTATATCAAATGCGAGAATTATTAACAAAAATCAACTATGAAAGTATAATAATAATAATCCTTGCATTTGATATAGCGCTTTTCACGTCTTCTAGACGTCAGCGAGTATCAGTCATGACATTTCTTATGTTCTTTGACTTAAAATCTTAAGATTATGCAGAACTTCGGAAAATTCCTAAATTTGGTCTTCCAATTTAGACATTGGATTTCTGCAGTTTCTAAGAAGACTGAATTCCAAATTAAGATTGAAGTTAAAGGATTTTCCAAGATTCTGCATCATTTAAATTTTAAGATTTAAAGTTAAGACCATTCAATACAAATTTATATTTATATCATGCCTTTCACATCAGGAGGACATCCCAAGCACTGGACAGCGTTTGCATCCGGGCCTGGGGTGGTGTCTGAGGAGGGGGGGAAAGATATCCGAAAGTGCGATCAAACAGGAAGGTCTTGAGGTGGACCCTGAAGGAGACAATGTAAGGGACGACTCCAGGATGAAGTAAATGAATATTTTTACACCTGAGAGAATAGGTCCAAACTGCTGCATGATCAAGTTTATGAATTATGACACAATCTGAATGGTATGATTCGATGACTCCCCATACAGGTATACTAAATTGTATATTGTAATTTTCCCGGCAGGGCGAAACCTTGGGCAAGTTTCCTTACTCCACACAGAGCCTAATAATAATCCCTCCAAAAACAAAAACAATAATAAATTGGTCATTTTCAATCCACGACTGTTTGTGGGACACTGCTGTGCGCAATTGGCTGCCGCGTTTGCCCACAAATATACAGTCAATTCACTTTACAGCATATTCTGTGAAGCACTTTGAGACATCTAGAAGACGTGAAAAGCGCTCTATCAAATGCAAGGAGATTGCATCATCAACAGTGCTTTCCTGTAATACCTTCTTTGGTGCAAAATCTGAAAAGGCCATCTCCATATCAGGAAAACAATTACAATACTATTTATAGTATATAAATATCAGAGTTCAACAGACATGCATGTTATAAGACAATAATTAAAGTGATGAAAGAAGGAAAAATGCCAGAGCATTTTTGGAGTGTCAAAATAATATTACCTTACCAGGTTTTGCAATTTGTTTTTGAATTTTCTTATATTTTCATAGTGAAGGATGTGATGGATAAGAGATAACAGGTTGTTGTTAAATTGTAGGACAGACTACTGCTTGCACCTGCTCTCAGTACAATATACTTCAAAATTATTGGACCTATTTCCAACTTTACATTGCTCACTGCAGCCAGCTCACGTCCACAAACTACTGACCACGTTGAGGAAATGATAGACTGATTCAATGTCTCGTTTTAGGCTAACATTTTATGATTTTATGAAGATGGTTGGGTGGAGATTCACTAAAATAATAGCAGGCTTGACAGGTTAGTTGTAAGGTGAGACTTGAAAAATTGGAAACATTTCACTAGATCACAGAAGGATGGAAGAATCGAATAGTTTTCAAAATTATGAATGGTTTTAATACAGTAAATAAAGAGAAACTACAGCCATTGAGTGGTTCAGTAACAGGAGAGCATAAATTGAAAATTCTCATCAGAAGATAAAAAGAGCTTAGGAGAAATTGTTTCACATGGAGAGTAGGTTAGATTGTTGAACACCTTACCACAACAAGAAACAGCAGTAGCAACTTGCATTTACATAGTTCCCTCCACGTAGGTTAACATCTCAGAGCACTTCACTGTGAGAGTGTTGAAGGGCTAGGAGAAAGGGAGGGAAGCGGGGGAAAGAGAACGGTAGGGAATTTTTAGGTGTGGTGGAAGAGGTAGGTGTTTAGGTGGAATATAAAGGTAGACAGAGAAGAGGCGAGGTGGAGGGATAGAGACAGGGAGCTCCAGAGGTTGGGGGAGTAAGGAGATTCTCAGCTATCCTTCAAACCCCACATTCATGGGTGACCTATTTTACCTTTCCCCACCTCCGCAACATTGCCCGCCTGTGTCACTGCCTCTCACCACAGGCTGCCGAGACACTGATCCACGCTTTCATCATGTCCCAGCTTGATTATGCCAACCGCCTGCTCGCTGGACTTCCCAACTTTTCCCTCCACAAGCTACAGATTACTCAGAACTCTGCAGCCTGTGTCCTCTCCGCACCAGGCTCCGCAAACCAATCACCCCCGTTCTTTCCCAGTTTTATGTTTAATACTTTTGGGAAAATATAATATATGTATGCTCATAAAAAACTCCACATGTCTTATTGAATGCACAGAGATACTGCTGAAAATAAGCTGCTAAATATCACTGAACATGCAGCATGAACAAAATATACTATGAGGACTTGTGGTGAGGTTAAGATAACATAGGCACCTTCAACTCATTAGGTACATCACTGAACTCACTGGATTAATATTTCAATAAAAATAAATCAAACTCCATTACAACTTTTTGCACATAGATACAATTTGTTTATGCATTTTTTTACTTGTGTCAAGTCAAGTCTGAAATAATTCTATATAGGGCAGTTTTCACATCCCTGTGGCTGCTATAAATTGTTCACTGCACCTGATTCAACCTCTCCTTTGAATCTGCAGTAACATGCACAAGTACTACTCACTTTCGTACTTGCTCTTTATTTAGATGCCGGGTTATGATGCTGCAGTTCAGCAAATTTAGTTGGTTTTATTCTCACTTCTCTCACTGTTTTTTCTCTGTGGGTCATTCAATGAGATTTTGAAAACCTCAGCCCGGATGCACTAATTAGTGAAAGTGTAATTGTGCCCTTATGAGATTTTAACACTGAATTGAGACATTCCTTTACTCTTAAAGTTAACACAAAAATAACACTGCAACAAAAGTATCAGACACAAGATATTCAAAGTACACGACATCAACACTTGTGATGAGAACATTGCAAAAACAAAGATGTTTAAAGTAAAATATTTTAAGTTCAGACTTGTGCGGTAAAGGCGTAACTCGACTATAAGAGGTCTGACAGGAAGATGTTCAATCAATGATCGCACCCAGTATTAATGTGCATATTGTCGACATTTTGTAGACATCACGTTTCACAATGTTACATTTATGTATTTTATTATAATATCACAATATCATTACCATTATTCTTTGCACTTCACAGAATGGACCTAGTTTATGATAAAAATTTATTGGAAGTGTTCGGTTTCAGCTTGAAACAGTTTAAAGACTAAAAGACTAACCCAGTCTTCACTTGCAATGGAACCGAGCTAAGAAGGGCAATTCAACGTACCTCTTTACCCAATTAGGTTTATCTAATTCAGCCTTAAAATGAAAAAAATAAGAGAAATTATTGAGAAATTATTTCTGTGGAAAAGGATTTATATTCATTTTTTGTGCAGTGACTTGAGCTTCTTAGATAAGTTAACGAGATCACATGTTCATATGCAGTAACATAGAAAAGCACGGAACAAAGAAAGCCATCAAAACTGCTCCTACCAACAAATCATATATAATTAATAATATTAATAACCCTTGCATTTGATATAGTGCTTTTCACAACTTCTAGATGTCTTCACAGAATATACTGTAAAATGAATTGACTATATATTTGTGGGCAAAACGTGGCAGCCAATTGTGCACCGGAGTGTCCCACAAACAGTTGTGCATCGAGTGACCAAATTATTGTTTTGGGGGAGATTTCTTTTGAGGGATTATTATCCCCGAAAAGCAATCCGCCAATCGACTAACAACTGGGTTCCTACTTACTGCTAGGTAAACAGAAACATGTGGAGTAAGGAAACTTGCCCAACACTTCGCCCTGCCAGGAATCGAACCCAGGTCTCTCGCTTGTGAGGCGAATGCTGTAACCAGTGAGCTACAGGACTCCACAATTCATGCTCGGCAGCATTTTGACTCATTTCATCTCTAAAGACACTTCTTCCACACAGTAACACGCGCACACACACACACACACAGTCACACACACAGCAACAATGCAGTAAAGCTGCAAGATATCAATCGAACCTCAAAAAATGCTATTATTCAACTCCAAGAATCTGCTTTCACAAATGGTATTTCCAAGGTCCTGTAAATCATAGGACCAAAGAATTATGCAGCACAGAAGGAGGCCGTTCGGCCCATCGTGTCTGTGCCGTCTCTTTGAAAAGAGCTATCCAAAGCAATCCCACTCCCCCACTCTCTCCCCATAGCCCTGCAAAAGTTATCCTCCCCAAATACCCATCTACTTCTCTCTTAAAAGTTGTTATCAAATCGGCTTCCACCACCCTTTCAGGCAATGCATTCCAGGTCCGAACAACTCACTGTATGAAAAAATTATATCGACAAAATCCCTATAATATATTCTCTGTGTATTGCATTCCAACTGAATATGAAGTACGAAGGATCAAAAAGATTTGTCAGATCTTCTTTGACTATACTGACTAGAATTCACATTCTTTACCTGTTACAAAGTGTTACACAATTTACTTATACAAAGCTCAGTCAAGTGCATTCCACTATGCATTTATATAACAGATTTTGTTCCTGACATCAAACATTGATATAGCACCTTATCACGTCTTTGAGAGGTCTCAAAGTGCTACATATAATACTCTGTAAAGTGGAGTGACCGAGTATTTTGTAGCCAAAACGCGGCAGCCAATTGCGCAGAGCAGTTTCCCACAAACAGTGATGGATTGAGTGACCACATTATTATTATTTTTTTTGAGAGATTATTACCCCTGGAAAAGCAATCTGCCGATTGACTAACAACTGGGGTTCTTACTTACAGTTAGGTAAACAGAGGTGTGTTGAGTTAGGAAACTTGCCTAAGGTTTCGATCTAGAGGTATTGGTTGACTAATTGCTCACTATATCAAAACAGTGTGATGGGCAGCAATAGACAAGACAAACAGAATACTGGGTTATGTTGCTAAATAAGTTAAGTTCAGTTACCCAGAAGTCATACTCAAGTTATGCAGTTCTCTGGTTAGGCTGCACTGAGAGTACTGCGAACATTTCTGGTCACTTTGACACAAGGGGGCTGCCCAGGGCCCAGAGGCAGTGCAATGTAGAGCACAAAGTATTAGAAAATTTAACTATGAGCAATGATTNAAAAAACTATGTCTTGACAAAGTGCATCTCAGAGGGGACCTTATAAAGGTGTATAAGATTTTAAATTAGATTGAGAAGGTAAACCCAGAACACTATTTTCATTCACTGAAGCAAAACAAGAAAACAAAGGTTCAGGGTTGCAAAGGGGAATTTCAGACACCAGGAAGGATTTCTTCACCTGGAGGGTAAGTAATGGCAGAAACTGGCTACCAGGAATGGTCACCGAGGCCTGGACACTGGACTGCTTTAAAAAACAGCTTGATTCTGTGATAGGAAAATGTTAAGGTGCCTGGAAGGATGATAATGTGAGTCGAAGGGCCCTTCTTCGTCAAAAACCTCTGGGGATTGTGTGAAGATATTCTTTCGTCTTGGACCTAACCCATTTTACCTTAATTTTTAGGTTTGTCCTCTTGACGTACCCACATCTTGACAAACAACTCTATCTCTGTACCTCTACCCTGAAATACAGGACCAGTGCTATTCTGCTGTCAGATGTAAAGTCTTGGATGAGCTCCAACTTTCTTCAGTTAAATGTAGATAAAACAGGCTCTCCTGCTCAGCAACTCCTCACCTCAGGCACTGACAGCAACAATCTACACAAATGTACACCCACCTCACAGAGCCTGTGCAGAACCTCCGTGTCTTGTTTGACCCTCAACTGTCCTTTAAACGGCACATCCATACCATGATATGTTCTGCCTTCCTCCATCTCCACAACATTGCTCACCTCCGCCAAGGTCTCTCCCCTCAAGCTACTGAAACTCTCATCCATGCTTTCATTATGTCCAAGCTTATCTCTGCTAACTCTCTGCTCGTTGGACTTCTCAAATCTTCCCTCCACACAATGCAGATTAAGGTACCACGACCAGTGCTGTCCTCTCCTGCACTAAACTATCACCCCCACCCTTGCCAGGCTCCCCATCCCCAAGATGATAAGAGTTCAAATTCTTTGTTCTCGCCTTCAAAGCCCTCCACGGCCTTACTCCTTCCTATGATCCTATGACCTATGATCTGTTGAACCATTACCTGGGCCAATAGAAAAATGCGACTGTACTTTTCCCACGGAATCTGCTACAGTGCGCTAGGCCCCGCTACAAACCCATATACAGTGTGGTAGATAGACCCTGCACACTCAACGCTGCTGCTCTGGTTGAGCGGCTCATCATGCGTGTGTAGCCCGGGGAGTGTTGGGATCGCGGAAGCGACGCGAACGAGAAATCGGCTTTGCCCGCGAGTGAGAGAGCCATGAAAGAAATAGCAGGTGCGGGACACTACTGCCACTATTTGCTCAGCCCTAAACTGAACTCTTGCAACAAATTCTTAGTAAGTGCTGAACTATTCAAATTAACATTTTTCGTATTTTAAACATAGCTACATGTTCAGGAAATATATGCTTATAGTTTTAACCAGGTTGTTTGACAAAATACGTCTCTCAATAGCACTGTTGAAGCCCCTGCAACTTTTGGCAAATATTTCTGCAAATTTCTATTGTGTTGTCCTGTAGCTGTGTGGTTAGAGCACTTGCCTCACAAGTGAGAGGATCTGGGTTGATTCCCGGGAGGGCAAAACATTGGTTAAGTTTCCGTACTCCACACCCCTCTGTTTACCTAGCAGTAAATTGGAACCCGCTTGTTAGTCGATTGGCGGATCACTTTTCTGGGCATAATAATCCCTTCAAAAAAAATAATAATAAATTGGTCAGCCAAACCACGAATGTTTGTGGGACACAAACATTCGTGGCGCTCCCCCTCCGACATGCAACCCCCACCCCCTCACTGATCTCCCCCTCACCACCTCGCATCCCCCCTCTCCCATTGACCTTGCCGCCCCCCCCCTCACCGACCTCGCACCCCCCCCTCACCGATTTTCCCCGCCCTCACCGACCTCCCCACCCTCACTGACCTCTCCCCCCCAATCACCGATCTCCCCTTCCTCACCGATCTCCCCCCCTCCTCACCGATCACCAATCTTCCCTCACCGATCCCCCCCCTCACTGATCTTCCCCCCCCTCACTGATACCCCCACTGATCTCCCCATCCCTCACTGATCCCCCTCCCCCTCACTGATCACCCTCACTGATAATAATAATAATAATAATCCTTGCATTTGATATAGCACTTTTCACGTCGGGAGGACGTCCCAAAGCGCTTCACAGAAGACACTGTAAAGGAATTGACTGTATATTTGTGGGCGAACGCGGCAGCCAATTGCGCACAGCAATGTCCCACAAACAGTCATAGATTGAAAATGACCAATTTATTATTGTTTTTGGTTTTGGAGGGAATATTATTAGGCTCTGTGTGGAGTAAGGAAACTTGCCCAAGGTTTCGCCCTCTGCCTGGAATTGAACTCAGGTCTCTCACTTGCAAAGTGAGTGCTCTAACCACTGAGCTACAGGACTCCACTGATCTCCCCCCACCTCACTGACCCCTCTCGCTGCCCCTCCCCCCCCGACCCCCCCCCTCCCTGACCCCCCCCCCCTCACTGACCCCCCCTCTCGCTGCCCCCCCTCTCGCTGACCCCCCCGCACTGACCCCCGTCACTGACCCCCCTCACTGACCCCTCACTGACCCCTCACTGACCCCCCTCACTGACCCCCCTCACTGACCCCCCCTCACTGACCCCCCCTCACTGACCCCCCCTCACTGATCTCCCCCTCACTGATCTCCCCACTCGCTGCTCCTCTCACACTAATGTCTCTCTCGCGGTCACTAACAACAACTCACACGTGTGTGCAGCGTCTTTCAGGTCGGGAAGACGCCCCGAGGCGCTGACTGTCCCTCAGCCTCACACACACACACACACACTGACCTCTCTGAGGGAGTCACAGTTGGGACACGGGGCGGGGGTGACGGTCGCTGGCGCGGGGGCAGCTCGAGCCTCCCCCGGCATCATATCGCTCAGTGCGGGCAGCACCGCCCTGCGTCATCAGCCGCCGACCGACACAACCCGACCCGACCCACAGCCACTCAGGACCCACAGCCACTCAGGACCCAACCACCGGCTGCCTGCCCACCCGCCCGCCGGAGCAGCTCAACGCCACACCGAACGAAGACACAGTAGGCTACAAAGAGCAGGGCACGGAACGGAGACGGTTGTCGATCCATTTTACATTGAAAATGGTGTTTAATAAACAGGCAAACTCTCTGGACACCTCGAGAGTGAAAGTGGACCCCCCCCCTCCGGGCCCGTGTGCAGCGTCGCAGTCACCGACACTGAGAGTTAGAATCGTTGACACCAATTGATCAATCACTGACAGCGTCACAATCAATCACCGACGCCGACAGCGTCACAATCAATCACCGACGCCGACAGCGTCACAATCAATCACTGACGCCGACAGCGTCACAATCAATCACTGATAGCGTCACAATCAGTCACCGATAGCGTCACAATCAATCACTGACAGCGTCACAATCAGTCACCGACAGCGTCACAATCAATCGCCGACAGCGTCACAATCAATCACCCATAGCGTCACAATCTCTGACAGTGTCCCACTCAGAGCTGGTGGCCCAGTCAGTGCTATGGCTGAGCTGCCATCAATAGTTCCTGGTGGACTACATACCCTCCACTTATCCCATTTGCATTTAACCCCCCCGCCCCCGAACTGAGCTAACCCTCCCCCCCACCCCTCAAAACACCCCCATTTCTACTCCCCACCCTCCGCTACTCAGCCTCAGTTCTTCTCCCCCATCGCAACACGCGTCGATGGTTGTCCCAGAGGAGCCACCCCGACTGCCCCACTGCCCACTCCACAAGACTCCCCTGCCTCCAGAATGCAAACCCCCCTTCCCTCATCCACATCCGCACCCTTCCCAACTCTCCTCCCCCCTCAAAACCCTCAGTCATTTCTCCCCCCAAAATTTGCAACCCTCAAAACCCCTACCCCCCTCAGCCCCTTCACCCTCTCCCATCGGCGCACCTACCCGCATCAGCCTCCAAAACATCTGCTCCCTCTCCTACCCCATGTCCCCCACCACCCCCATTCCTTCTCCACCCTTTGCTCCCACGGACCCCAACCTACATTCCGTTTCCCCCATCTCTCCTTTCTCCCTCTCATCCTCCATTACTCAGAAGAAACCCACCAGCTGCTGCCTCGACCCCCTCCCCACCCACCTGCTGGTCGCTCAACTCCCTCTTCTGTCCACTGCTGGCAGACACCATAAATCAGTCCACTCCTCAAAACTGCTGTCATCACCTCACTCCTTAAAAAACCTACTCTTGATCCCTTCAACCTCGCTCGACTGTCACTACTGTCCCATTTCAAACCTGCCATTCCTGGCCAAAGCCCTTCAATGCATTGGTACAAACCAACTTTGCTCACATCTCACACCTCGAACCCCTCCAGTCCGGTTTCCTCCCTTCCCACAGCAAAGACAGCGCTCCACAATGTAACAAAATGACATCCTCCCTCTGTGACCAGGACGCCCTCTGCCTCAAAGTCCCCCTGGACCTCTCTGCGGGGTTCGACAAAGTTGAGCGCGCCACCTTCCTCCACCGTCTCTCCTCCCTCATCCACCTTAGTGAGACCACACTCGCATGGTTCAAGTCCTACTTAACCAACAGCCAGCACTTCATCTCGGCCAATGGTTTTTCCACTGATCTGTGGGGTACGCCAAGGCTCCATCCTTAGCCTCCTTCATTTCCTTATCTACATGGTCCCTCTCAGCGATATCATCCACAAACACAGTGTCAACTTACGCATGTATGCGGATGACACACAAATCTACTTCTCTCGGTGCGACTCCCAGTCAGCTGATGTCCTGTCAGCTTGTTTTGACAAACATCAAGGCCTGGATGAGCGCAAACTTTCTGCAGTTGAATGTTGACAAGATGGAAGCCATATTCTTTGGCTCCGTCAATATCTTCTCTCCTGCAGTTCAGACCTCTTCACCCTCTCCGATCTCCTCACCCACACTGATCTCTCCCTAAGACTGACCGAATCCCTCCCCAGCTATCCTTCATACCCTACAACCAGTCGCTGACCAGGACCTCCACCACATTGCCATGGCCATGACTGTTTCCCCCACCTCTGCCACATTGCCTGTCTCCATCCATACCTCACTCCAAAAGCTGCCGAAACTCTCGACCACATCTTCATCACCTCCTGCCTTGACTACTCAAATGCCTTCCTCGCTGGTCTCATAGTCCCCCTGGACCTCTCTCCACTATTCACAAAATTCAACTAATTCAAATCTCTGCTGTCCGCATTCTCAACCGTACTAAACTCCGTACCTAGCTCAGTGGTTAGAGGACTCGCTACGCAAGTGAGAGACCCGGGTTCGATTCCTGAGCAGGGCGAAATGTTGGGCAACTTTCCTTCCTCCACAAACCTGTTTACGAAGCAGTAAATAGGAACCTGGTTGTTAGTCGATTGGCGGATTGCTTTTCCGGGGGTAATACTTCCTTCAAAAAAAATCCATGACTGTTTGTGGGACCCTGCCATGCACAATTGGCTGCCGCGTTTCGCCCACAAAATGTAATCAATTCACTTTACAATATATTTTGTGAAATGTTTTGAGACATCTCGAAGACGTGATACAGCACCCTGGGGAACACTACTTGTCACGACCGGCTAATCAGAGAACGTTCCTTTTATCCCTACTCTGTTTTCTGCCTCCCAACCAATTTCCAAGCCATGTCGCAAAGTTACCTCCAATTCCATGCTCTTTCATTTTTGCTAATAACCTCCTGTGCCGCAGCTTATCAATCACTATGACACAGCCATACATTTCTTACAGATGTGTTTCCAGTTGTGAGGAAGGAGATTTAATGGATGAGCTACAGTAGCCCTAGAGCATTCACCACACGGAGTGATAAATATCCACATAGGACCACCCTGCCGGCTGTTAACTTGGCTCAGTTGGAAGCACTCCTGCCTCAAAGTCACGAACATGTTAGTTCAAATCTCACAAGGTTCTTTTTCCGCTTGATTTGCTAGCCTCAGCTTTGTCTCCTTCTTCCCCTTTTTCCGATCACATCTGAAAACCTTCCTCTTCAACCGTGTCCCTCCCCCTGTCGCGCTCCGCCACTATTTAGCACTCCGACGTGTGACTCCGCATGAAGGACAACTTAGTGAGGGCTCAAACCTGTTCTTGTTGGATGTCAAATGACCAGCTATTGAGTATCCTCAAAGGGGGTGGAGAAGGGGTTTGGAGGTAAGCGTGGTCTCTTTTGGGCTAAATTAACTCAGGGCTAAGGTGACATGCCAGGTAACAATATCAAATTCGAGTCAGTCATAACATAATAGTGTTAGCGGGGTGGTGCGGTGGTGGGTAGGCGAGGGGAGGGTCTGCAGTACTCCAGGAACTATTGTTGGCAACCCAGCCTTGGCTACCCTGGGATACAGGTAGCCAAAGCCCTATTGGGGAAAGTGATCGGAGCTGGACAATCCGTGGGAAGCTTGCCAGAGAGGGCTTGTAATCAGGCCTGAATTAAACTTGATGGGTCCCAGGGCTGTTATAGTTTGGGAGCCCCTCTAAGGGAAAGATGAAGGACCAAAGAGAATTGTGTTTTTTAAAATATATTTATTTGCAGTTTATATTTAATGTTACAGAAATAAAGCTACCATCAAATTTAAATAATTTTCTTACTGTATGAATGTTTCAGCATCATAGTGTGGGAACAACATAAGAGACAGTGTGGCTCGTAATTCAAAGGTTAATGAAATTGAGGGAGCAGAAGGTCTCAGCCAGTGTTATGGCCAAGATAAGTCTTGGCACAACAACACACACTGATTTTATCAGTTCGATATCAATCAGGAATTGAATGATGCTGTTTCATAGATGCACTTGATCCCTGGTTCAGTGATTTCTCCTCATCTGCTGCCTCTTCTTTCCATCTCACACTTCACACAGCGCATGCGCGAGAAGCTGATAATGAGGCGCAAAGGTACTTCAACCTCCCCTCAAAATCCAGGGCCCTGGTCTGCAGCCCCTAAAGACCTGCATTACTCCGGCCCTGCTTGCAATAGCACGGTGTATGGTTTTAGCTGTTTAACTCCAGCAGTGCCCCCAACACACTGGGTGTCCCCTAGTCTCGGTTTTAACCAACCTGCACTTAATACGTCCCAAGATTATGTAAGCAGGATGCATCCCTCAAAGGTAGAGCATGCGCATTCCATTCCAGACACTGGCAAATGTCCATGCATAATAATAATAATAATAATAATAATAATAATCCATATATTTGATATAGCGCCTTATCACTTCTTTGAGACGTCGCAAAGCACTTCACAGAATATACTGCAAAGTGAATTGACTGTATATTTTGTGGGACAAAGTGCGGCAGCCAATTGCACACATCAGTGTCCCACAAACAGTCGTGGATTGAGTGACCAAATTATTATTTTAAAAAATCTACATTTTTTTAAGGGATTATTACACCCCCAGAAAAGCGATCCACTAAACGACTAACAACTGAGTTCCTACTTACTGCTAGGTAAACTGTTGTGGCATTTTGAAGTGATAGGTCACTATAGAAATATTAGTTCTTTTCTTGCATTTAGTATAGTACCTTTCATGTCAGGAGGACAACTCAAAGGGATTCACAGGATTTTACGGTGAAATGTAGTGACCATGCATAGGTAAACACAAAAGCCAGTTTGCGCACAACAAGGTCCCAAAAACAGCCATGAATTGAATGACTAACGTCGCATGGGAAGGCTCTGACAATGAAGCACACTCATAGCACAGTGTGGAGTCCTGTTGCTCAGTGGTTAGAACACTTGCCTCGCAAGCGAAAGACCTGGGTGCGATTCCCGGCAGGGTGAAATCTGATAATAATCCCTCAAGAAGAAAAAAATAAATAAAATTGGTCACTTCAATCCACGACTGTTTGTGGGACACTGCCGTGTGCAAATGGCTGCCGCGTTTTCCCACAAAATATACAGTCAATTCACTTTATACTATATTCTGTGAAGCGCGTTGAGACTCTAGAAGACGTGAAAAGTGCTATATCAAATGCAAGAATTA